TACCAACTACCCCAACACACCAAATCAAAATACTTTCAATCTCCCCAGGAATTTTTCATGTTTGTTACTTCTTAGATTCCATGCTTCTATTTTTAGTACCTCCAGGGTTGATTCTGGAAGAAGGCACCATATTCATTTGACATCTTGGCAGGACTAGAATGTCTTCTTTTTCATCCAAATTGTTTGGAACATGCAGTCCATGGATGCAGAAAATAAGTCAAGTGGAGGAATTGGTTTTTACCCTACGAACAATGAGAAGCCATTGATGGTTTCAAGATGAGTGATGACATGGTCAGTCTTTATTTTCAGAAGACTACCCTGGCCACTGTTTGGCAATCAGATTGGAATAAAGCTACAGTCGATACAAGGAAATATTTAGAAGGCTCTTGTGGTTGTTCAGGTGAAATATAATGGTGGTCTAACCTATCGTGATGCTATAGATGGAGAAAAGCAAACAAATTCAAGAGGTACTTGGGAAGTTATTTTGCTGGGTTGCGATGATGGATTGTATTTATGGGAGATGAGAAAATATCAAAGATAACTCTAACATCGTGGGCTTGTATAACTCAGTACATATATTTATTTTCTTTGGAAGAATGGGAAGGGATCTATCAATTTGGGGCATGTAAATTTGAGGTGCCTTTGAAATATCCAGAAGAGATGTCAAGTAGGCATCTGTCTAAGCTCAGAGTTCAGAGGAGACATCTGAGCTAGAAATACAAGATGAAGATCCACATATTTATAAATGAAATGGCCTTGAGAGTTCCGCACGTGAGAAGAGGGAACCTGGGAATGAGCTTTCAGGAACTCCAACATTGAATGGCTGGGTGTGGTGGACTGAATTATATCCCTCATACACGGAAGCCCCAAACACCGCACCTCAGAATGTGACTGTATTTGGAGACAGGAGCTTTAAAGTGATGATTAAGGTAAATGAAGTCCTTAGGGTAGGCCCTAATTCAATGCTGGTGTTGTTGTAAGAGGAAATTTGGACACACAGGGGTACATGAGGGGCATGCAAGCAGAGGACAGACCATATGAAGAGGCAACAAGAGGGGCGGCCAAGGAGAGAGGCCTCAGAGGAAACCAAACCTTGCAGATACCTTGGACTTCTAGCTTGCAGAATTGTGAGGAAACAAATTTCTGTTGTTTAAGCTACCTATTCTGTTCTTTTGTTTGTCTATGGCTGCCCCAACAAACTAATACACTGGGTAAAAAGAAGATTGTGGGGAAAAAACTATGTAAAGATGACAGAAGATAAGCTCCTGGAGATTATTTTGTCACAGAAGAATATCTTGTCACAGAAGCCAAGGTAAGAGTGTTTCAACAAGTGGGAAGTAGTCAATAGTGCTGAACTCTGCTGACAGGTAAAGATGAGAACTGAAAATGTCTGGATTTAGTGAACTGGTCACTGATATGCTTAACATGGACTCTCTTGGTGGGGTGATAATATAGAAAGTTAAAATGGTGCAGGTTAAAAAGTGGGAGGTGAAGAAATGAAAAGTTAATATGAACAACTCTTTTGAGGTTTCAGTGTGACAAGGGAAATGAGGTTTTTCTGTTGTTTTTTTAACAGGAGAGACTTGATCCAGGTATGGGACACTCTTCAAAGTAGAATTTCAGGGGATAAAGGAATGGCTGCTTAATTTCTGGCTGATGAAGATACTTAGTTTTTAAGCAATCTTTGCTTCCTAAAATGAAATCTCAATTCGACTTTGCCTTGTAACTAGTTCATTCTTGTCATGTCCTGGCATTTGGTTGGTTGGCTATTTTCACTGTTGTTGTGAGGCTTCACCTTAATGCCATTGGCGTTCTAGTGAGAAGGTGGAGAAGCTTCAAAGGGCAATTGCTAGTCAGATACCGTAAAAGTGACAAGTGTCTTTCTGTGTTTTTGTTTCATCTTTAAATATTTAAGCCATCTAAAGTTTATAAGATGTAAGTCTAATAGTTTTCCCAAATCGATAGCCAGTTATTCCCATACCATCTCAGTAAATATGAATGTCTACTAATTGCTTTCTATGATATGATTCTCAAAGACCTTAATATCTAGGTAAGGGTTACATATGCCAATGAGTATTAAAAAAGGTGCAACAAATTAATCGTCACTGGCAGCACTGAGAGATTACATTTTTGTGGGGATGTAGAAAGAGCCTTTTTCTTGATTCTTAAAGATTGGATTTAACCACTTGGGTATGAGCGTCGACTATAGTTGACAGCCACAGACAGCAGTGATACAAAGGAGCACAGCTGAGCGTCGACTTTAGCCAACAGCCATGATATGAAGGCGCACAGCTGAGCATCAACTTTAGTCGACAGCCAAAAGCTTCTACTTTTACAACTTTTATCTCTGCAGTTGCAGTGTGTACGTTCAGCTAACAAGTTACTACGAATCTGTGACCTTTTAACAAGTCCTTAGTAGGAGTTATTATAGTTATTTTCCTAAAGCTGCCTGTAAAGTAAAACAAGCTTTCAGTGCTTTAAAGCTTTCCTCATCACACAAGAGCAAAACGGATTCGTCGTCAATGCACAGCACAAACTATCGTGCGGACTGTGAGTGCCGGCTGTGGGCAAGGTTTCACAGCTGGTGAGCGACGTACCAAACTGGTTAAAGGGGATGATGGGGGCTAGGGAAGGGGTTTGTAGGAGTGAGGCTGTTTAGGGAGAGGCACCAGTATGAGTAAAGACCCAAGTGAGAGACTGCAGCCGCCTCTGGGACATAAGACGGTAGATGATGGTGGAAGTAATGCTAGAGTGAGTTTATACAGTCAGACCTCCTATCTGTGGGTTCCACATCTGTGGATTCAACAACTATGGATCCAAAATATGTGGAAAAAACTGCATCTGTACTCAACATGTATAGACTTTTTTGTTCTTGTCATTATTTTCTAAACAATACAGTATAACAACTATTTACATAACACTTACGTGGTTATTAGGTACCGTTTAAGTAATTTAGAGATGATAAAGGATACCAGAGGATGTGTGTACGCTGTATGCAAATACTATGGCATTTTATATCAGGGACTTGAGCATCCCTGGATTTTGGTATCCATGAGAGGTCTAGAAGCCATCCCCCATGAGTATGAGGGCACAACGGTACTTCAGTGAGTTAATGGCAAAATGCAGAAAACATATAGCCTAGAGAAAATTTGGGGCTTTGAAATGGCTGATTCAAGATATAAAGGTTAATTAACTTGATACAGTTTGGATTGATGAGGCAAAAAAAGTAAAAAGTTATAGGCTTGTTACAAGGTAAACGGAAGTTTCTTAAAAATCAAGAAAATATGAAACTATGTATATATATATATGTGTATATATATATATATAAATTTCAATAGACTTAAGTTCCCCACTGTCTCAAGCAGAGTTTTTAAACCAACGTTTAGGGCACACAGTAATCCACAAAAGCTCATAAGTGAGTAAAATCATGTTTTGTCCTTTTGGCCGTATCCTCAGAAGGTGGGGATGGATGGCATCAAAGATATGGTATGGAAGAAACAGAACAAACTCTTGGGGTACATAGAGTAGGTTCTTTCATTCTTCCTTCCCAGAGCATGCCACCTCTTTGGTGGGAAAAATGAAGGGATTATAAAAGGCAGGACAGATTTCTAGAGATGTAGTAGGGTAATGTTCTTGACTCTAAAGAGTGAAGTGGTAGCAGGCAAAACAGAGGGTGCCACTGAGTGGTGACCCCATGGTTAAGGGAGAATCTGCTACATGGGTTTTCTGTTCTCCATGTGTGTTGTTTTTGCCCAACTTACCAGAAGACAGAAGTTCTGGCCAGGGGCTCCATCCAGAGAAAAAGCCCATAAGGCTGAAGCATGATGGACACTGGAAGAATAGGGGGAAGAAGCCCCTCTGTCCCCAAAAAACAACTGTGCCCCTGATTGGTCAGCTATGCTCCCTTTGGGAGTGAGTTCCCTGCTGTAATGCTGCCCTCAGATGTCCAGAATCATCCCTAGCTAGCCCAGTGCACTCTGCTCTCAGAAATGAGTACAGCTTTTCAGAAAGGTCTACAGCTTTTGCACAGTGCCCAGTCAAGTTTTCTTTGCTTTTGAATTTTGGCTGCTTCTGAAAGGCATGTCAACCTACCTGTGTGTTGGTTAGGTTTCATTACATTCTCCTTTTCTGGAGTTCCGATTCTGCTTCTAGTTGTAGGGGAGACTTAAGATGCAAGTCCAAAGGTTAAAGTTATTATAATAACCTACACATAAAGAGCTGGTAGGAAGTGTAATTAAAAATCAACGCAAGAAGTTTTAGGAGAAAAAAAAATAGGGAATCATAAATTTAGGGGTCTTAATAGATCTTCAGCATAGATGCTAAATTGTTGAATGGTGAGGGTGTCCAGAAGAAGTCAAATAGAACAGTAAAACACAGGTGCTAAAGCTACCACCTTCCTTGGTTCTGGCTCTGAACCCAATACCAGGGATCCCTGCATCAAGGGCCCAGAACTGAGGCTTCTCAAGAGGCCCCTGCAGCACTCCGGGTATTGAGGGCCTCAGAGCAGCACAAATTAGGCTGGTTGGGAATAGTCCCCCAAGACTGGGACTTCAACACAAAAGTGTGAAAAACCACAACTTACAAGCCGTCTCCCCGTGACTCCATTTCAGGTGGTTCTCAGTCCCCTTTCCTCCCCAATACCACTGATCATTCTGTGCCAGCGCTGTGCCAATTTCACAATTCCTTCATTTCTTGCAGCTGAACTGGATTTGGAGAGTAGAGAAAAAAAGATCCTCTGGTTTTTCTGAAATCACATTTGACAGGCATCAAGGCCAATGTGTTTTCTTCCAGATCTGGATGCTGAGCTGTACAAAAAGGGCAGGAAGCACACCACAGTCTCTACCCCAAGGCCTGTCATCGGCTGAAGGCGCTTCCTTCTCCCAGAGCCACCCTGTTCTACCACCTTTCATATCTCCTTAATCCACACAGCCTTTTCCTCTGTCAAGAAATCAGTCTAGAGGGGAAGAAAACCAGATACAGGGGAAAGAAAACAATGAAACTATTAAAGATAGAAAATTTATTATGCCAATAGCTATGCCAACTGGGGACAAAGGGCTTTCCCAAATAAGTTGTGCTTCCCTGTATTACAGGTACCTGATCAGAGTGACACAATCTCAGATGCCCACCAGATCCTGATTCCTTTTTGAAATACTCTATTACAATAGCTCTGGGAAAATATCTTCTTAGCTGGTTGCTGAAGACTGGATCTGACCCTAGGCCAGTCATTAAGGCACCAGCTGTCTTGAGAAGGAAGACGAGGACTGTGACTGAAGGACCGCAGCCCTGCTTCTAGGAAAGTAGTATCTGATAAGGATGGTCAAGGAAGATACATTTCATCACTTTAAAAACAACTTTACCAAAACTACTAGTTCTCTAGTTATTATTAAACTAACTGTTCAGAAATAGTGTACTTTAATTCCCTTTTACCGTATCATAAATACTTCCAGTATTGTTAGTACTGCTATTATTGAGTACTAAAACTCTTGGGATACTGCTTGAACTGTATAAGTTTTTATAATGACTTAAATATCCTGAAGACTATCACTGAGTGAATTAATTCCAGTAAGTACCTAAGTAAAAATACCTAGGTAAGAAAATAGAGTTTCTGTTATGTTTATTGCCCTTGAAGGTCAATTCAGCTTCTTATAGTAATTTTGGACTCAGTATAGTAGTACAAACAATGCTAACTTATACAGTAAGGAAGTCATTAGAATACTAGTCTAGTGGAAGGAAATCATGACTTAATGGTTGGAATGAATTTTGCATTGACTTTTAAGAGTATATCAAAAGGTTCAGGCAGAGAGCCACGCTCCGGAGCTAGGGCGAGTGGAGGAGGTGCAGCGGCCAAGCACTGCATATGGGGCCAGCGGGCCAGTGCCGAGCAACCGCAAGTGGCCTCAGAAGTCCCCCAAGAGCTGGCAGCGGTCCGGGAGGAGTAGTGAGGAGCGGTAGCCGGTTCAGGCAAGTGGCATCATGGACGAGAAGGTGCTCACCGAGGAGCTGGACCAGTGGATTCAGCAGCTGAATGTGTGCACGCAGCTATCCAAGTCCTAGGTCAAGAGCCTCTGCAAGAAGGGTACAGAAATCCTGACAAAAGAATCCAATGTGCAGGAGGTTCGATGCCCGGTCCCTGTCTGTGGAGATGTGCACGGGCATTTCATGATATCATGGAACTGTTTAGAACTGGTGGCAAATCGCCAGATACAAATTACTTGTTTATGGGAGATTATGCTGACAGAGGATATTATTTAGTTGAAACAGTTACACTGCTCGTAGCTCTTAAGGTTTGTTACCGTGAACGTGTCGCCATCCTTCAAGGGAATCATGAGAGAAGACAGATCACACAAGTTCATGGTTTCTATGCTATCAGAGTGTTTAAGAAAATATGGAAATGCAAATGTTTTGAAACATTTTGCAGAACTCTTTGACTATCTTCCTCTCACTGCCTTGGTGGATGGGCAGATTTTCTGTTTACATGGTGGCCTCTGTCCACAGATACACTGGATCCCATCAGAGCACTCGATTGCCTACAAGAAGTTCCCCCTGAGGGTCCAATGTGTGACTTGCTGTGGTCAGATCCAGATGACTATGGTGGTTGGGTATATCCCCTCGAGGAGCCAGTTACACCTTTGGGCAAGATACTTCTGAGACATTTAATCATACCAATGGCCTCACATTGGTGTCTAGTGCTCACAGTTGGTGATGGAGGGATATAACTGGTGCCATGACCGGAATGTAGTAACGATTTTCAGTGCTCCAAACTATTATCATTGTGGTCACCAAGCTGCAATCATGGAACTTGACAATACTCTTTCTTGCAGTTTGACCCAGCACCCCGTAGAGGCGAGCCACATGTCACTCGTCATACTCCAGACTACTTCATGTAATGAAAATTCAAACTTGTACAGTACTGCAATGAACCATATATTGACCTAATGGAAATGGGAAGAGCAGCTGTAACTCCAAAGTGTCAGAAAATAGTAAACATTCAAAAAACTTGTTTTCACACAGGCCAAAAGATGTGCTACATAAAAATACAAAGCCTCTTGTCATCAACAGCCGTGACCATTTTAGAGTGAACCAGTTCACTGCCTGCTGAAGTGACACTGTTGGTCAAGAAACCAGTTTCTGGCATAGCGCTATCTGTAGTTACTTTTGCTTTCTCTGAGAGACTGCAGATAAGATGTAAACATTAATACCTCATGAATACAATTTATTTAGCAATTTAACTATTAGCAATTTCACTAACAATTTAGCTATTTAGCTGTAGCTTTACTTAGCATGACTATAGATAAGGATAGCAGCAAACAATCATTGGAGCTTAACGAACATTTTTAAAGTAAGTACCAAGGCCTCCCCTCTACTTGTGAGTTTTGAAATAGTTTTGTTTATTTTCAGGGATACCATTTAATTATGATTTGTCTGCACTGAGTTTATGCCCTTCTCAAATCTCAGCTCCATGTTGTTCTTTGTTATTGTCAGAACTTGGTGAGTTGTTTTGAACAGAACTGTTTTTCCCCCTCCTGTAAGGTGATGATACTGCACAAGAGCACTGCAGTGTTTTTCCTAATAAACTTGTGAACTAAGAACTGGAAAAACAATAGTTCACTTGTTTATTTTAGTTAACAGAGTGAAGTTCTCAGAATTCGGCCTTGGTCCACAGATCCAAAAGATCTCTAGAGTAGTGATGTGGAAAAGATTCAATAAGTTACCGAATGCCAAACGTTCAATTAATTCTCCCCTTTGTATCTTTTAATCTATCTGTTGTCACCCAGAAACGCTTAGGTGTATTTATCTCCTTAGCTGTGTATGTTGGACACATACAAGTTGTAAATACTTTAGTTCTTGTCTCATTGAAGGAAGGGCAGAGTGAAGAATGCAGTAGGAGAAGACTTGGCCTTGTATTACACAGTGATACCAGAAAATGCAACACATTTTCCCTCTGGAGTTGGGAGAACACATTATTAAGACCACAAAAGGATACATGTAAGTTGGGATGCCTCTTGCAGCCAAATGTTTCCGAATAAGTCGCTCAGTACCATACCAGTTAAAACCTTTTGTAGAGTGTCCGATGCGTGGAAGATGAACACTTGCTATTAAAAAGAATAGATCATGATGTCTTTACTCATCAAAAACTGAGTATAAAATATACACAGGAGAAAATAACTGACTGTCCCACTCAAAGCATACAATTACAATGTCAGAAATATTCTAGGGAGGGACTGTAATAACGAAAAATTAAATTATTCTCTTGAGCACAAGGACCCACAGGCTCTGGAAATAAGTAGGTCCAATGGACATAGAATATGATTGGTGGAGTTTAGATAAGCAGAGATTCTCTGCAAGCCATTCAATTCAAACCTGGACACACCAGGTTTGGAAACAAAATTTAACTGTTTTTGGCAAAGAACTGTTACTGTGGAGCTTCCTCACCTGTAAAACATGATAAAACACCAAGTGGATGGAAAAGGTCCACGTGGATAATGGATAAGGAGTGTTTGGAAAGGAAAAAAAGCTATATGAATACACGATGATGTGGCGATCACTCCTGTGGTTTGCCTGTACCATGCATATTGAATGGGGCCTTGACATTTCTCACCTCCCTGCAAGTCATACCAGGTGCCTAGAAACAAAAATGTATCTACTCCTGAGCACAGATGAAAGAGCTTACCTTTCTTTTTCTTTGCTGCTAAAAATATCTTCTTCAGGCCCTCTTCTAGGGCTGCCATCTTAATGCCAGACAGGACATTGGAGCGATCACGGTGCTGAGCCACAATCAAGGCCAACTAGGAAGAACAGCCATTAAATGACTCACATGACAGGAGACACCACACTGGCAACTGAGTGACCTGTCTGTGGAGGGGACCCAGCCCTTTATGGGTCACTTGGGCTTCGGCTCCATCCTTTTGGATGTGCTGCCTGAACAGCAATGCCCTACTAAATGTAGACGTCTGCCCCATCAAATTTCTCTTATTTTGTGGTAAATTTATAGAGGCTTTTCTTCCTTTTTTTAGGATATGTTAAAATCAGAGTCTAAGACATTTGCTTTGTAAATGCTCTCAAGGGTAAAGAAGGAATTTTTCAGAATCATAGGCACAGAAAGAATTTGAGGTTCTTGTATTCCAGGCCTTTAACTGATGCTCGGGTCAGCTCCACAATGCCCAGGAGGAGTCATTCCACCTCTGCTCAAACAATTCCTGGGAGGACAAAATGCCTGGCTTCTCCTGTCTCACGCTAACCTAAGTGGAGTAGAGCCAGAAAGTGTCCAGGGAGCTTCTGGGACTACAGACGTGGTGCTCTACTCACTGTAGACAATTTTCTAGGGTCATTGGACTCTAATTTTCTGATGCACATATACTGTCATTCTCCTTTTTTAGCATTCTAGAAACTACTGAAGCAATGACTAAACAAACAAAAACCACTTTGTTATTAGCCACATAGACCACCAACCTCAAGAGAAGAAACCTCTCTTTCAGCCTAGTTTCTAAATTTCTTTTCTAAGTCAGTCAGATTTGGCTCTAAATCTGAATATAAATCTGGGCCTCAGAAAAAGCTGCGTAAGTGTGGCAAAGAAAACTCAACACAGGTATTTCAAACAACAGGCAAGTGGAGATACCTCAGATACAAAAGGATTTTGACGGGGGCATAAGAAACATAGACTGGTTCCTCTCCTTTGCTTACAGCTCACTAGAAAACATGCTCTTTCATAGAAATTTTCATGTAATAAGTGACAAAACCTTCAGAGTTTTGAGTCCTGTTTTCTTACTGATTCAGTAAACGTTTATGAAGCATCTCCTGTGAGGATATGTGGGGCACTGAGGAGGTAAAGATGAACAGGAGTCCCATACTCAGGAGGGGCTGCTCTTTAGGCCAGTGGAGGAAGGCGGCCAAGGACAGAGCTGCAGGGACTAATGGATGGCCAGGGGAGGGTGTGCCCAACCTGTTTGTCAGCAACTGAACTGTGTCCCCCAAAATTCATGTGCTAAAGCCCTAACCCCAGTATCTCAGAATGTGACTGTTTGGAGACAGGGTCATTAAAGAGATGATGAAGTTAAAAAGAGACTTTTAGGGTGGGGCCTAATCCAATCTGATGTCCTTATAAGAAGAGGAAACCTGGAGGCACAGACACCAGGCAGGCACATGCACAGCAAGAAGACGGCCATCTGCAAGCCAAGGGGAGAGGCCTCAGGAGAAACCAAACCTACTGACACCTCGATCTTGGACTTCCAGCCTCCAGAACTGTGAGGAAGTAAGTTTCTGTTTAAGCTGCCCAATCTGTGGTACTATGTTGGGGCGGCCCTAGCAAATGTGTACACTACTAGAAGGCCAGTGTGGGTAGGAAAGGCTTAAGAGAGATTGATATGAGCTGAATTTTAGTTCTGGTAAGAGATGTGGGTTTTTTTGTTTTAACTTACCAAATCTTGTCCTTGTTTTCTTGACTCTTTATCATCAATAGGAAATAAAAGGACACCTCCTAAACTCAAGTCTGAGGTAAAATTTCAAAAAGCAACAGAAAGAACATTAAGTTCACTAAGGACTGAGACTACTGAAAGACTATACTGAGTTCTCTTTATTCCTTCCCTTTTCCAAATCCAATTAGGTTTCAAACCCCACCTTCCTTCAGAATCCTTCATATCTTTTCTTACTCTCCTGGCCTCAAACAACTCAGCCAGATTCACTCCCAAACTTTCATCATCATCTAATTCAGTGATCCTCAATGTTACAGAGGTATCTGGGGGAAGGAGCACTGAGCTTGAAAATACTCTGGGAGTCTGCAATGTTTATTTGAATGATTTAAGACAAGCATTCTACTCTATATCTCTTTGTGTATCTTCCTACCCCATCCAAATCAAATAACACAGATAGTTTATGCAAATATGCTAATTCTATGGCTTTACATAACCCAGCATGAAAGTTGTCAGAATCATAATAGAATCACTTGTGTTAAAAAAAAAAAAAACATGGCAAATAGAGCTGGGGAAGGCCAGGAAGAGCGAGTTCCCATGCACAAATGCCTGAGAATGAGGACATGTGCCAGCAATCGCCTGTCTAACCTCTGATTGGCACCACCCTTGTTACTGATCCTTGTAGCCAAGAATTATCTTGAAAATTATGTAATCCTCCTCATTTTTCTTCTAAAAACCTTCGTCTTCAGGCCGGGCGCAGTGGCTCATGCCTGTAGTCTTAACACTCTGGGAGGCCCAGGTGGGCAGATTGCTCCAAGTCAGGAGTTCGAAACCAGCCTGAGCAAGAGCAAGACCCTGTCTCTACTATAAATAGAAAGAAATTAATTGGCCAACTAATATATAGAGAAAAAATTAGCCGGGCATGGTGGTGCATGCCTGTAGTCACAGCTACTCGGGAGACTGAGGCAGTAGGATTGCTTGAGCCCAGGAGTTTGTGGTTGCTGTGAGCTAGGCTGACGCCACGGCACTCACTCTAGCCTGGGCAATAAAGTGAGACTCTGTCTCAAAAAAACAAAACAAAACAAAAAAAAACCTTCGTCTTCCTTTACCTCCCTGAATACATACATAGTTTACTACAGCACAAGCATTGCCATTTCAATGCCCATTCCTGAAAAAATCATTTTCTTTGAGAGCCTCTCCATCTGTTATTTAGGTTGACATCAATTTGAACTTTGTGTTCAAAGAAAAATGATGGATACCCTGCACCCTCCAATCTTTTAAGTCATTCTAAAATACTGGTTGTGCTATGACATTCTTTTGATCAAATCTGCCAAATAACTAGCCATTACCCACTGGGTAAGGTCATGCTTAGAATGGCATCTCCCTGGACAAGCCACATATAGTTTTCTATGATGTTGCCTAAGGCTCCTTTTGAAATCTAAAACTCTCCTCTATTCCTCTGCCTTAACCCTCTATGCTGCCTGCCTGGCCCACGTACCACCCTCCAAACACATGATCTGGGTGCCTGCCTGGATCCCTCAATACCCACAGACTGGGAACAGTCGGTGCTGTGGCAATACCAAAAAGAGTGAGACCATCAGAGACCCTCTCGCCATTCTCTGCACCAGTTCTTCTGACTCCTTATCTAGTGCTTTGTCAGCCCCACGACACTGTCTTAAGTGTCCTCTCCTGTCTCGTTCCATGCCTAACCCTTCCCTCTACTTTGCTGCTTACCTTTCATTTTCCCAGCCAGCTCATATATTTTTCTTGGCTCAGCTGATCGTGTTTCCAGAGCTGTGAATAAACCACCTCTGCCCCAGCGGCCAGAATCATCTGATGGAAGAAAGAGAAAATTTTCAAATATAGGAGGTAAAGTCCAATCCACAATTTAGAAAAACAAAGGCACATGTAATCGGCTTGTGGAAGAATGATTTTTCAAAGGGAAGGAAGAAAACAATCTGATCTCCTGGGAATGCCACAGGTTGGACTTCCCAAATGTGTTTACTAGGTTTTCTGGAAGATAAACCTGACCATTATAACAGGAAAGCACCTCAAAAATTAGTGTTCTGAATGAGCAGAATCTCTGTGGTACATCTGTGATTCCTGGGAGATGACAGGAAGGATGGAGAGGAGGGGGACCGTAACGCAGGGTGAGCTGAAGCATGGCCAACGCACCAGCACAGAATCCCCATTTTGCAGGTGAGGAAGAGGAAAGGTGAAAGGACTTACTCAAGCTGGAACTGTCACTGCTGGTTAGTACCTCGTCTTTACGGTCATTCACTCATTCACACTAAACATCTGTCAGCTGCATTACACGTCAGGCCTTGTTTTAGGCACCAGAGGCATCACAGGGGACCAAAAAACCCCCTGCTTCCATGAAGCTCATTTCCTAATGCGATGAGCAGTCGAATAAACGAGTATGTACATAATATGGCAGGTGGGGCAGGCATAATAAAGGAAAATGAGAGAAAGAGAGTAACAGAGGTAGGGATGGGGTCTGTTTCATATGAGGTGATCAGAGAAGACCTCTCTGAGAAGCAGACATTTGAATGTGGCTATTTGGGGAAATAAAAAGTGCAAGGTCACAAGGGGGAACAAGCCTGAAGTTTGGCTTTTTCTCAAGGTATTCGTTTGTCTTATAAATGTTGCCTCATTTCACTAACTTAAAAAAAAAGCCTTGTACAGAGGTAAGACAGGTATTATCCCATTTATACAGGTAAGGAGCTTGAAGCTCAGGGAGTCTGGGTAACTTGACCAGGCAAAATGGATTTGACTCTGGCGCCAAGAGTCAAATTCATGTCTCCTGATTCTAAACTTCACGCTTTTTGGACCACCGCACTGAGGCCGTCATGCCCTCGGTCAGGGTTCTGCCTCATCCTCCCCCATTCTTGGCACCGTGAGACTGAGGCACCCACCCCCACTTCTCGTACCTACGCAGTGCACGATGACAGCGTCCTCGGCCCCTGTCTGAGGGTGGGTGACGTCACCACTGACGTACTTGATGGAGGTCGAGTCTGGATCTCCGTAATCCAGCTCGGCAGGGCTCTCATCTTCCCCATCCTCAAGGTCCTCTGACTCGCTGTCCTCGGAGGGCAGGCAGAAGGACCGGTAATTGTTGGCCTCCCACCAGGCCATCCTGCAGCAGGCCAGGGAGAAAAGGAAATGAACCCGGCCTATCACAATCTCCCTCAGAGCACATTTTGTACTGCTGTTCACAAACAATAACTGCCAAGTGGAAGTGCAATTAATTACAAACTCACCCTGATTGAAGTTTTCTGCTTATTTATAAATGAACAAGTCTCACTGATTAGCCTAACTGCCTCCTGACTACGATACAATAATGAGCATCCACCGAAGGCTCCCAGTTTTTAAGAACATGACTGAAAGGGATCATTCAATGAAACTACTCTTTGTCAGCTACAAAAAAGCTTAAACTTTTCTGGTTTCACAGAATGCATCTTCTCTGCCTTAAGGGGCTTTTCACTTACATTGAGTAAATATTAAGATTAAAGTTTAATCTTTAAAAAAAGTATTCTGTTAGCACTAGGAACAATCAGCCTTATAAAAGTTTTCTGCATTTTGAAAGTGACATTCAACTGTGGTCTCACTATGTAACAGAGACTCCTTTACCAACTGTGACCTTAAGCTTGGTCTATGATACAGACGTACTTTTTCTTATGTTCGGCTTCTTCCTTTTCCCTCTTCTTCTCCTCTAGTAGTCTCTTTCTCTTCGCTGCCGCTTCTTGTCTTTTCTTGCGTCTGTCCTCCAGCTCTTCTGGGCTCAGAATCCGCTTCCTTTTAGTAGACCCCTCCCCTAGGCCTGGGATAAGAACCTGCAGGAAGAACAAGATCCATCACCGGGAAGGGCAGGAGCTCCCGTTCCTCCTCAAGTTTCAACACCCCTAAAGCGCACTCTGTACAGAAGCAACGTGCTGAATATTCCACGCCGTGTGTGCTGGGAGCTGGTGGCAAGACACGTCCATTTACTGTTCACATCACACATCTCACAGGCACGGTGACCAGGATAGCGCGCTCAAACCTCAACCAAAGCACGGTCGACATGGTTGGTACAATCATTCTGATTCATTTCATTAGGAATAAGGTACTTCACAGAAAAGCACCTTTTTATCCTTGCCTTGAAAGCATACCCTGCAGGATGCCATTTTAACTTTAACCATTTTTAATGGAAATCTTTCTGCAAGGTATTGTATAAACCTTTTTAAAACAGAATATTTCAACATCATGACTATCTTAATAACTATTATTTAATTAGCACATATTAAGTGCCAAACACTGAACATTACACAGTTTATGACTGCCGTCCTCTCTTAATGACACACAGTCACAATCATCAACAGCAGGACATGGTATTATGGTATTTGGTATAACACAACGATCCCTTTAGGGGTGGCTTAGATGGGCAGGGCTGCTTTCACCTGCATTAAATCATACAATATACTCTCCTTGTTAATGTTTTTTATGCCAACTTTTTACACCGTTTTTATATGTTTTAACTATACTAACATTTCAACAAACACATATTTATTTTTTTACCAAATCATCCTAAGAGAGACAAATGGTTCCAGCATGATTTTTTGTTTTCTTAGGATGATAGTTGGTAAGAATTTATTATTTTACAGAAATTAATAGTTCTTACACTGCCTTTCTTTCGGAGTGACCGGCCCTCTTGACTAGTTTTCTCCAAAAGGGTTTTCTGAAGATTCACCAGTTGTTCAAATGATTTTCTGTCTTCCTTACTAGGTTCTTTAGAATAATCTTTACCTTCAAATAAATACATGTGGTTTTCTAGAAACATAAAACACAAAGAAATTCAGATACTAAAAAAATGGATTAATGCTATTCAAAGCACCAACTAAGGTGAAGAGAACTGCCTGCATTCCAAATGGGCTAACACCAGCTTGTGATGAAGGCATTTCACTTCCCCTCCCACTGACACTGAAGTGTTTAGGTTCTACATGGAGGTCCCATGTATTTACAAAGTAGAGAGCATGGCTTGAAACCCTTCTGGTCTATCCCTAGAAGCTCTGTGAGTCTCAGCTAGGTCCCTCCACCCTGCTATCTTGGATTGTTCATTGTTCATTTAGTCCCAACTTTTCCTCAACACAAATCCCAAGGACATTAAGATCACCTAATAAAATCTGTAATTTTTTATTCCAAACACACTTTGAAGACTCAACTCTTAAGTTGCAAATCTATGACAAAATGAAGAACCACAAAAATAATCCCTGGGATTTACAACATCCTTTACAGTTCTCATGAAGCATATTCATGATCCTCACGACAATCCTGGTATAACTAGCCCCACTTAGGGAAGGGGAAACCAAGGTTCAGACAAGTATTAAGGGACATCCCAATTCTCACTGGTAATAAATAAAGGCAGAATTTTCTGACTCTAAGGCCAGGGTGCTCTTTCAAGTATATTAGTGTATCTATAGAATACCTAAGAGTATTCTTGGTGGAGAGATATCAGGCTAGCAAATAATTATAGTAACAACAATAAGGACAATAGTGTAATCCTGAATACCACTTTATACTATCAGAGAGAGCATTTTCACATCGGTTATCACATTTCATTTTTGCAACTGTGTAAAATAGTCAAGTAGAAAGTAGCACGATTTTATAGATGAGCACACAAAGGCTCTATGAGATTGGGTGATCTGCCATGATCATGAATCAAATGATAAACAGAAGTCATGACCAGATAAGACTAGCAACCAGATAGGTAAGATAATGAAGTGAAGCATATTTAATAGTACATGTTACTAAATAATGTATTTTCACAGCATTATGAAATCAGCTATAAGTATGTTTTCCCTAGAGACTATGAAAGCAAAACATTTTCATTCTCAAGAGATCAATTGCTTCACACTTGTAGCCAAATCTAACCAGCTGTAATTCTAATTGGCATTTGCTAATTAAATCAGCAGGGGGCTTTGAATGAGGCACTCTATCAACAAGTGGAAAAAAATAAAGTGCTGAGAAGTGTCAAATATGATCAACACATGTAGCTTCATACTGCATGCAATTTTCAATTTCCAAACATACGTTTTAAAAAATCCTGGCATTCAAGATAAACCAATACTGTTTTTTTATTTAATTTTGATGGGCTGCTTTAATTACTAGTCTTTCATATTATTTTTAATCATGCTCCCCATCTTCACTCTACAGCCGAGAGGAGGGTGGAGACCATAGGCCTAGACTCTCAACTCTGTTCTATCAAGAGGAACCATCTACCATAGAGCAAACCTATACCCATTAACCAAAGAGAAAATTCCAAATTTTAATACAACTGGGGGATTTTTTTCTGGCACTTGGACTGTCTGAAAAAGTATGATATTTTTTTTAGTAGTTGGATTGACTGAGAAATATATTAAATACCTTTCTGGAAAACAGGTGCAATTTTATTTTGTTCTAGTAAACATTAGGAAAATAAATAAATGTTAGGAAAATTAATCTAAGTACGTGCAGAACTGGATATAAGCTTTGATATTTAATATAATCAATACATAACTTAAAAATGACCATGAGCATCTATTTCTTCTCTCACCTGGAACCACTAAATGACAGTAAGGGAATTTAAGAAAAGATATATGAGAAAATGGTGCATGAGAAGTTCAGTAACACTTTGAAAAATGGGAAGTGGCTGCAGGGATAGTAACAGGCCAAGAAGAGCCATGGAAGCAAAACAAAGGTGTCCAGACATGAGGGTAATTATGAGACCAGAGACCCTCTCAATCCTCCAAGAGCCTTAGATTTACAAGTACAGAGTATGGCAAGGTGGGGGGGACTGAGAGAAGACCTGCACACCAAATAACTGGCAGGCCATAAGCCCTTGACTCACACTGTATTTTCAATTTGAGCAACCAGGTTAACTCCATCCACACCTCTTCTAAGGAAAACATTAGAGGATCTGTCTCTGGAGAAAGTGAGTTGCCCAGTAAAAAAAAAACTTCAACTTCTACAGACATCAGTGGAGGCTCCCTCGATGTGAAAGCTGGCTCCCAGCCAGTAACGCTGGCGTAAGGCCTGAGAGCCCATGCACCTGCATGTGCCAGAGTTGCCATCAGCTTTGTGGCACTTCCCTGGCATGTGTGCTCAGACAGCCAGGGAACACCAGACCGTTCAGGAAAACTACCAACAAGAACAAGAGATCCCAAAAGAAGTTTAAAAATAAGAGGAACCATGGTTGACTATAGTTAATGATATATTGTATTCTTGAGACGTAAGACCAACAAGCATTACAAAACCACCCCAAATCCAGGCCTACTACAAAATTAGGAGTCAGAAAATACTATACACTTCAATTTGCACATGAGTAGAGAGACGAACATCCCAAACCAGCTAAGGCAGCTCCAAAGCTCACACTAGAGTCCGGGAGAAATTGTGCAGAAAGCACGAAGGGCAGCAGGGCTCTAGCAGTGCCAGACAGATCAAATGTACCCCCCAAAAGAGGCTCACGCCTCAAAGGGGGAAACAACGAAGACAGGTCTTAGACTTGGTGGATCAGAGCAGAGGCTACTCGGGAAGTGAAAGGAGGGGACTTGGAAACACATGCAGCCAGGAAATCGGGAGGGCACTGCTCTTGGGGGACAGACAACTCAGAAGGGGGACACATCCCTTGACAGCTCTGTGGCAAAGGGAAGGAAGCAAGTGATGGCAATTCACATTCCTACAGAAACAAAAGAGAATCACAAAACCAGAAATCATGCCAACCCCATTCCCCACCAAAAAAAAGAAGGCACTATTTAGCAAAGAAACTGCCTTTTCTGTATCAATGAAAGGAGGTACTCTTGGAATTAATAAGCCTATTAAGATTCCTAAACCTCTCACCCCAGTCCATATGGAATCTCTGCTACAGCTGGTTCAGGAAAATAAAGTCGTTTCAACATAAGTTGAAATACTCAGAATAGAAAGGAACAAAAAAGACAAACGTTGATCACATTCAGAAAAAATAAATAAATAACTAGGCACACGACACAGTCCACACTGTTGATGAGCACACAGTAAATTCTCAATGTTAGCTGTAATTTAAAAAACAAATCATTCCTTGCTGAGAAGAGGAATCACTGTGTGCAGAGCACCATACTTAGGACAGTAGGCTTTACTAATAAACAAAGGAGAAGATACTTATAACCAAGGGAGGAAAGGTACAAATTCAAATCCTTGAGATTGATGCTATCACAATCATTAATATGATTCTGGTTCAAAGTTCAGCTCCAAGTAAATAGCCAGACACATTTCCAGTTAGGCTGGGAAGAGTTCTTGGACCCAGCAAGTCTTAATCAGTGGGCCAAAGATGACAACAGGACTGGGTGGGAAAAAGATGTCCCAGGAAGAGCAGTATCCAGGCCTTTCCATGGGCTCAGCTCACCCGTGTTCCAGCTTGGGGTGGCTGTGCCATTTGCTCTGCTCTAACTCCCAACTCACTTCCTTCCTCCTGTTCTCTGCTCCCTCCTTCTGCTGCAGGCAAGGCATCCGAGATCCACTGGCCATCTTTCGTTTCCCCCAGGATGGACTCCAGGTCTATTTCATCCATGGTGCTCCCCTCAGAGGACAGTAGTTTATCCAAACCAAATTTGAGTATCTCACTCAACTTGAAAGCAGAAAACAAAAAAAGTCCGGTTAGTTCTCATGAAAACAAACATCAGGATACTGGAGATTTGCTAAGTGGCCTAACACCACCTGGCACATTCCTTCCCTGATGGACAGGCAGGCTTTCTTCTCTTCCCATCACAGATGATACCAACCAGGGCTGTTTACCAGTTGGATGATGGGTAAACAGGTGATAAATGATGATCAGAGCTGTTGACTTTGATAACTCTCCATAACAACAACAAAAAATTCTATACACCTCCATTTTTTTTTAAGAATAACCTTAATTTTCTGCATTTTCTATAGCACGTCTCACTGACTCTTTTTCACAGGCATTCCCAGCAACAACATGACAAGTCAGAGGCCCTGTTAGCTATTTTCCTGTGTCTCCACTGCCAACATCTTAGAAAGAGAAGGCTACACTGGGTACTTCACATCTATCATAAACTGACTGCTTTCCTTTGGCAATTTATTTTCCTATCTCAGTGCTCTATGGAAACCACCCTGGTGAAGACCAGCAACCACTCCTGATCATGAGGCCCAAATGAAGGCCATTTCCCAATCTGACTCTTCCTGAATGTGCCTCTGGCACTGCATTATCCTGCTTCTCTCCCATTATTCCTTCCAGGGTACCCTTGGCCTATTCCCTATGGCTGCAGGAACCACCCAGAAAGCTTAGATGATTTTTCCTGGATTTCACTTGCTATTTCCAACTTTGTACCTACCTGAGCCCTAACTCCAAGATCCTGAACCAAGTTGGAGTCACACCTTGAGCCCCTGTTCACACCTTCCCCTTTGAGAGTGGGTGAATTATCTCTAGATCATCTATTTTGTGAGTAGCTTAGAAATCTTCAGGTATTCTGTGATAGCTTGGAAAAAAGTTAGCTGGCCCACCTGTGCATGAACACACCTGTATACATTTATAGTTAACCTTGGTATACATAACCAAGATAACTGGCTTTGGCAGCTGGTACCAAAAATAGAAGAAAGCCAACTATTTATGATGAGAATTAGTCCATACTGGGACCCTCCCCTCAATCCCTGTGTATTTACGCTTGCCTCCTGGCTTTCCCTAGTTATTGCTCACTTGTTATGTGTCTCAATCATTAAGGAATGACATGCGTTTTTATGAGGAGCAATATTTTATAGTAATTAACAGCATGTGCTTGGAAGTTAGAGAATGCTTAGAGTCCTAAATCTGAATGACCTTGAGCAAATTACTTAAGATGGGAATAAAGATAGTACCTATATCTCATTATGTTGTTGTTCTTCTTCACTGAAAACCAGAAAAGAGCACCTAACACAATACTTAGCACACAGTAAGCATTTAATAACTGTTCACTATATCTATATCTGCCTTTCTGTGTTTCTACTGTGTTCTCCCTGTGTGCATGAAAATAAACCTGCTTCCCTCTTGCATGATTTGGAACTCCCTACTGATTAGATTTACCAAACCAGAACCACATTTTTTCCTATTGATTTTTTTGGCATTTAAAAAAAGTCCCCTGCTTTGAGACAAAGGCACTGGGTTATTACCTTTGCTTTTGGCAACCACAATAACTCATAGTCTGGATAGGGAAGAGAGAAATCAGACATCAGAGCCAGAACAGAACGTAACTTTCCAACAACCATGAGCTGGGCGAGAAGTCCGACAGAGCCCCTCAAACAGCCAGGAGTCCATGTTCCCACTAGTGTTTGGCCCCATGGCACAGAGGTATGTCTACATGATTCACAGTGATGTGCCCAGCATCCCACGCACAGGGATAACCCCAAGTGAGCTCCCTCCACTGGAAGAGAGTTCAAGCACCTTACTGACAACTCTTCCTCCTCTGACACCCAGAATGTGGGCTTTCCGAGGCTCTGTCATTTACCCCTTCACCACACCCAAGGGTGAACTTGTCTCTCTCAAGGCTCTAAGGGGAACTATTCCATGAGAACTGTATTTAAGAGTAACTACAGTATACTCCTACCTCTCTTCTCAAGCTTTTATCTTACATTGGTAATTGCCTCAAAACGGACAGCCTGCCCTACCACCATTATGGTTAGGCACATGCATCAGAGTCAGAAACAAAATTAAAAAACAGAAAAAGAAAAGAAACCACACCTACCCACCTAAGACCCTAAGATAAACAAAAACCAAACAAAACCCAGCATTATTCTTTCTAGTTCTAGTCCCACACAAATGAAATTTTTTTTTTTAATTTTTTTTTTGAGACAGAGTCTCACTTTGTTGCTCAGGCTAGAGTGAGTGCCATGGTGTCAGCCTAGCTCACAGCAACCTCAAACTCCTGGGCTCAAGCAATCCTCCTGCCTCAGCCTCCCAAGTAGCTGGGACTACAGGTATGCACCACCATGCCCGGCTAATTTTTTCTATATATATTGTAGTTGGCCAATTAATGTCTTTCTATTTTTTTTTATAGTAGAGACGGAGTCTCACTCAGGCTGGTTTTGAACTTCTGACCTTCAGCAATCCGCCCGCCTCAGCCTCCACAGGGCTAGGATTACAGGCGTGAGCCACCGCACCCGGCACAAATGAAATCTTGAGCCTTCCCTATAAGTCGCTGACTTCCTCACAAAAATGCCGACACGTAAAGATGAGCGTTGGCCTTTGTGGATATGATAACCATATGAGAAAACTGCTCTTTTTAATCCATGCTCAGACTAATTATAAACTCGGTAACTCTGCTTGTATTAACAATACTGTGTGATTTTTTCCCTTTTAAATACTTACTGTATTTTTCATTTGATAAACTAGCCCCCTGAAAGCCTAGTCTCTCTTACAAACTTCTGCAAATGAAATTCTTTTTTCTGAGTCTTCCTCTAACAATAGTTTGTTATATTGTACTTTTACGGCAAACCTTGTAGACCAAAACCTAAATTATCTTTATCTTTCTAAAACTCTGCCCTGCCTCCTAACTTCCTAATTTCTATTCTCCTCATATCCAAGCTTAAAACCTCACAGCCATCTTTGAATTTTCTCTCTCCTAACGCCCTGCCTCTCAACAGCAGCCAACCCCTCACACTGCCTTTTGCAATGTTTCTCACACCAGACCCTCCTGCAGCCACTGCCCTCGGCAGACATCGATTACTCTCTTCATGCGTGGATCTTTCTAGTACCTGAGGAGTTGGTCTCTATGCATCCAGCCCCTCATACCTGGGACAGGACCAAAGGACCTGGGGTATATTATTAAGATAATATGGGCCGGGCGCGGTGGCTCACGCCTGTAATCCTAGCTCTCTGGGAGGCCGAGGCGGGCGGATTGCTCAAGGTCAGGAGTTCAAAACCAGCCTAAGCAAGAGCGAGACCCCGTCTCTACTATAAATAGAAAAAAAAAAAATTAATTGGCCAACTGATATGTATATAAAAAATTAGCCGGGCATGGTGGCACATGCCTGTAGTCCCAGCTACTCGGGAGACTGAGGCAGAAGGATCGCTCGAGCCCAGGAGTGTGAGGTTGCTGTGAGCTAGGCTGACGCCACGGCACTCACTCTAGCCTGGGCAACAAAGCGAGACTCTGTCTCAAAAAAAAAAAAAAAAAAAGATAATATGGGTTCTAATTTTAACCCAAGGGCCTCTATAGAATAACTTTAAGTCCTCTTCCAAAAGAGAGCTCTCTCTCAACTCTTCCAAGCCAGCATCTGACTCCCATCCAATAGTCCCTTCTTCAAGCAAATTAACTCTAGTCCTTTCATCCATTTTTTCTATGGCATAACTTTGAATTCCTGGTCTCATTTGCTCTCCTTTGAGTATGAAGTAAGTAATGTAAGCCACTGATCAAAGGGTCTGGAATTAAGAAGGAGGTACAGAATTGTTATCGATTATGCTAAGTTCTTTATTTTAACTGATTCTCTTAACAGCCTTTGGAAGTAACTGGTGCGATGCTCCTTTTTAGAAAAGTAAAGAGAGTATATCAAAGAGGTTAAGATGTCTATTCAAACCCACACAGCCAATACCTGATGAGGCTTGGATGTGAATTCGAGTTAGATGGCCTAGAGCCCATCCTTCCTTAGTCCATGTTCTCCTGCCTTTATGGATCATACTCACTCTTGCACACGGCAGGTACTAGGGCAAGTGAGAGTTAGGCCAGGGCACAAATATGTAGGTGGGGAAAGTGGGTGGTTAGTTGCAGTTCTTTTCATTTATATTCTCCTCCCAAGAGAGCACTGACACATTCTAAAGTGAAGAACAACATTATTATACCTGGAGGTCAGTATCGGCTGAAGGTTTCTGGGCTCCCAGAGTAAAATGGCCCCCTTCTATGATCACGTTGGTGAGCTGCAGTTTGGAGGCTGCTCTCCTATAAACTATTTCTTCCACGGTGTCCCGGCCAATCAGCCGGATAACCTTAACAGACCTGTACATCAGTGGAATTAGAGCAGTGTGCTGTAAGAGTCTGCAAAGCTGGGCAAAAGCATGCAAGGTAAATACACCTAAAAGGAAACAAGGCCAAATACCATATTTAAGGTACAATTAAAAGGATATTGTTTAATTTGGACCTGGGCATTTCTTAGAAAGAACTGGATTCGAATTCTCTCTGAACCTTTCCAAAGGAGTTAATAAGGATGATGACATGATCATAACCAGGATTCCTTATCTGTGGCCAAAAACACCTCTGGTAGAACTAAATTATCCTCAGGTCAAAGAGTAGCACCTACCTTGTTAGTCTAGCTCCATGGCCTCATAACCCCATTTTTTAACTGAGTTAGACCCTAACTCAAGAAGGATGAGTTAATTTCTAACGGTTCCTTCTAATTATTTCACTATTTAATTTTGGTCTTTAAAAGTAAGTCTGGCCAGGCTCAGTGGCTCACACTTATAATCCTAGCACTTTGGAAGGACAAGGCAGGAGGATTGCTTGAGGCCAGGAGTTGAGACCAGCCTGAGCAAGAGTAACACCCAATTTCTACAAAAAATAGAAAAATTAGCTAGGTGTGGTGGTGCACACCCATAGTCCCAGCTACTTGGGAGGCTGAGGCAGGTGGCTCACTTGAGCCCAGGAGTTTAAGGTTGCTGTAAGCTAGGCTGATGCCACTGCACTCTAGCCCAGGATACAGAGCAAGACACCTCGTCTCAAAAACAAAAACAAAAAATAAGTCTGGACTGATAATGTGACCCACCCAATACTACTCCTAGGAGTCAACAGCACAGACACAACTAAAACCTTGTGGTCTCTTGACTCCCAGTTTGGGACTGTCACCAGGACTACATTCTTCACCTCCTTCCCAACCCAGAACCACTGATGAGCAAGCCAAGGAAGTGCAAAAATGCTGATGCCTACATCACTCACTTGTTCTGGCCAATCCGGTGAGCCCTAGCAGCGGCTTGCAAGTCATTCTGAGGATTAAAATCACTGTCGACAAAAATCACAGTATCTGCTGCCGTTAAGTTCATGCCAACTCCACCTGGAACAAAGCAGAAAGGAATGTGAGTGGAAGCACATGAGGAGTAGAAAATAAAGACAGAAGACTAGAGTGGATCAGATCAATAAACTGAAATAGTCAAAACTGGCTTCACCCTTCCAACGAACACCCAACTCCAGAACTTTGCAGTGGTTGAAAGTGCTACCTGACCTCCTATTGCCTGACTTGGGAAAACGTAATTATGGAATGTAACAGAACGAGGGGAGCAGGGATAAGTGGCAGAAGTCGATAACCAAGTTAGTGCTGTGAAGGCGTTTTAAACCCCTTCTACTGAAAAACCTTGATCAGAACAGTCTGTGGAAAAAATCCACATGGTCTTTCAGAAAACAGCTTTCAATATTAGAGAGGTCTGCTGTGGACACTGTTAAGACAAGAGTGTTTCCATACACTGCAAGTTACAACTAGATACTAAGATCCCTGATATAAGTTACTCAGAAGAGGGGATGACATCACACTCCGAAGCAGAGTGGGAAACCACCTCCCTCCCGTTGGAGAAAACTTTCATGAGTCTTTTCTGTACTTGTTTCCTCATTAATCAAAAGAGAAAGTAACAAAACCAAAGGCGAGACAAGAACACTTCATGGGAACAACTTTCTGGTCTTTGAGTGCTCCAGGAAAAGGGCTGAGGAGGTACACTGGGTCCCAGGAATTAATTAAGAGAACCATGAAGGTAAATTGCAGCCTTCTCTTTGATTAATGTGAAAACAAGTACAAAATAGACTCCCTCTGGCCAGGGGCATCAGGGCTTGTTGCTGAAACAAGCAAGCCTGAAAGGGCTTGTTCCAAGAGCCTGAGTTAAGGATAGACTTTTGAGAAGGACTACTGAATCTAAGCTGGATCCCAAGACAAGTCAGGCAGGAATATTCTAATTAAAGCCTTCATGTAAAATTAAAGTCAGTACAAAGAGATAATAACAACTGATTACTGAGAGGTGCTAAATTATACCTAATAATAATAATGATAGCTACACTTATGCTATGCGTACTGCTTGCCAGGCATTGTTCTAAGCACTTTACATGTATCAACTCCTTTAACCCTCACAACAACCCTATGAGTAGTTACTATGATTATCCCCATTTTACAGATGTTCAAATAGAAGCACAGAGAGGTTAAGGGACTTAAGCTGAGGTTGCACAGCTAGAAGATGAGAGGGCCAGGATTCCTTACTACATGGTCTGGGTCCAGAGTCTATGCTTTTATCCACTATACTATAATACCTCCCAGGCACTTATTTCATTTAAAAATGTGCTCCACAAAAATTATCTTCTTATTGAATTAATGTCTGAGGTTCAGCTCTTCTTTACTGAGGGGTAATATTTTTATATATAAGCTATATCCATATTTGTTTGGGACATATTCATGAGCTAACACTGCCATCTGGTGGCAATTTAAATAAATGAAAATGCTGCAAAACTGCAGCCAGACCATGATAGCAAATATGACAGAGTATGGAAACAGCTGATATCCAGGACTGTTTCCACTTCTAAAAGAGCTACTCTGAGTCCTTCAAGGAGATTAACTAAAAAGCAGAGTTGTCCTTCTTTCTAATTTTAGATACTTCAAACATGCTGTTGCTCTCTGAATATGAAGATTGTCGAAATCACTGAAGCATAAATGGAACTGTTTTCCCAACACTGATGATGTGTTTGCCCTGATTCTTCCAGTTTCTCCTAAGACTACCCCAGAGACGACTGATCGCGAGAGTAAATGGCTGAGACTCAGGGTGTGGTCTGTGATCCTGGGAAGAGAGTGAGGAGGCCAAATGAATCTGATTATATCTTATATTATTAATTTTATTAAATAAAATTAAATTTTATTTATTTTATTAAAATTAATTATTTATTAATTTTATTAGATACAACACACACAGGTGAAATAATCTCCTTATAAAGGATTATGTCTCATACTTCTTTTATATACTCTTTTAGTACTAGACACTTATAAAACTTTTTAAGAAAGACTGAACTCTCTTTTTATAAAAATATTGATCTGTCTTTAGTGTAGAGGACATACATCCCCTTCATGTTCCTACATGTATTGTTCCTGCATGTATTCCATCAATTCACATGCCACCTCCATCAGGATTTAAGTCTATGAAAAATAAGATAATGAAACTAAGATTTTATGTGTTCAAAACTAATTTAAGGTCTGCTTGCTCTAGTTCATGTGAGTAACTTCACCTCCAAGAACTGATTTCAAATTAATCATCTATGAAAGCTCTATGTAACTGGTAAAGCACTACAAATTTTATATGCAATATTTATGATTTAAGTCATATGTAGACAATGTCATAAATAATTCTAAAAAGCTGGCAGTTTCAATACGATCACATTTTTTAAACAACTAGATTTTTGCTAAGCTTTGACAACACTATTCCAGAGGTGCTTAAGGAGGAAGGGCAAGTAGCAGACAGTTATTTTATTTCCCAAATTCATGGTTAGGAAGGAGAACTGCCTCCATTGAATATAAATAAAACTTTCCACAAAATCACAGCAATCATTCAGGATACTTCCAAGTCAGTGGTCAGAGCAGATTAGAATTACCTTCCAAACAACACCAGGTTTCAGCCTTTGTTCTTTGATGAGATGATAGGTTGGATGGGTTAGATAGAAAAAAGCATCATGCTAGAAGTTCAGCACCTTGATAAACTGTGCCAACTACCTCAATTCCTCTTGTTCTACACTCCTCAGTAATAACTTCACTTTTCAGAGAATTAAGGAAAAATGTACTGACAGCAGGGATGTAAAAGGACTCCATCGCCCCTTGTGTGTCTGTTTTCTTCAATGCCTATGTGGCCTACCTGCCCTGGTACTCAGAAGGAAAATGAAAATGGGCTGCTGTCCAAAGTTCTTAATGGCCAAATGTCTCTCTTCTCCTCTCACGGAACCATCCACACGCTCATAGCTGTAGCCTTTACACAGAGGAAGAAAACAGAGAAATTGTAATCCTTTTCAAGTGCTCTCTGGGAGGAAAAAAAAATTACGTCAGCCCAAAACCAAAGGCCAATGTTGTCCCTATCCATATATAGCCAGGGCCCTACTTGAAGCAAATCCCATGGGAAGAATTTAAATGTAGGGGGATGATGTATCATTTCATAAAATAACTCACATACTCCTCTGGGGTTTTCAAATACATCCAGTTGATGTCTTTGGCATTTATGGAGTTAAGACTCAATTTTAACTATTCCCAACCAGTCCCAAATGTCCACACTGTGTGGTAGTTTCTAATTTTGCTGAGACATGATCCCTATTTGTGCAAGCAGTAAGACAAGCACTCAGAGCAGGTCAGTGAGCCTGCCTGATGGTGCAGGTCTGCCTTTTGGTGAGGCATCAGGGTTTTCCGCTGGGCACCAGACACCCACGGCAGGAAGTGGAGCTGTAAGCTGGGGCCACGTTTGCGCATCTGGGATTGCCCAGTGTGCCAACAGCATTTCTGCAAGCGTCCACTGAACCGAGTGTACTGTGGTACTTAAGGGGCATCAAGTGGATCTGAGAGATGCACCCTGGACTAACTTTTTAAACTGTAAGGTCTGGAGCTGATACTTCTTCACCACTGGGCTCAAGACCAACCAATGTTACAGTCTTTTCCCATCATCCAACATCAATCTTATTATATATTAAATAGAGTGCCCAGGTAACCTCACCTACATTCTCTATTATCTATATAGAAAAACTGATCTTACCTTTCCTCTGGTTTGTGGGATCTCTTTTAATATTCATCTTTTTTACTGATCCTGAGTAAGTGCTCGATTGTTGAGGTGAATGTTAGGAGACACTGAGAGCTCTAGTCACCTAAACAGTGTATCATACGTTTTCAAAAACATTCAACATTTCCACATTTGCTCCAGTCCAGTGCTCATAATTTTAAATCACATAAGTGATGGGAATGTGGGTGTTCTGCCCGCATGCCTCCCCCTACTCTCAACCTGTGCCTTCATGCCCCGCTCTGCACTCTCCGCACTTTTAGATCTTCTTTTGCTTCTGAATAATGTCCTTGTACTGCTTTCCTTTGTGACATTCCCACACCCTGTATTACTCTTCATGGACCTGTCTGGACCGTTAAGTCTAAAAAAGCCTTAAGTAATGTAGTGGCCAAGGGTGTCACCTCTGTAATCCATATAGTCTTGGAGAATATCCAACATCTGGGTCATTTGAGAGAAAAGTAAAACCCGATGGCCCCTGGTAAGAAAAAAAAAAAAAGGAAAAACTGCCAACTCTAGTATTTAAAGTGAGTTTCCCTCAGGCAAATCTTTCCAAATAATACAAGTTTATAAATAAATGAAACACTGAAGTAGAAATATAAATGTCACATAATTTACAGAGACTTCAGAAACCACCCTACATGCCTTATCTAAGAATATACCTCCACATATAGCTGTGTCCTTCAGAGCAGTTGTTCTCACACTGCAGTGGAGATATTCCCAGGGGCATGTGTCGATGCACTGGGGTATGTATAAGAAGCCCTAGAATAACCAATGTGCCTCTTTCTGGAGTGTCAATTTGCTCAATGGAAAGAAATACAAGCCTTCATTTTAACAGCAAAATAAGTAAGATATGTTAAGAGTAAAATGTAAACATTCAAACACAAAAACCCCACGGAAACTGGAGACCCTGAGTACCTTGTGGTCAGCCACATATAGCTATTCTCGATGTGGGGGTGTAAAGTCACTATCCTCTTATCTACGGTTATTTATATTGCTTGAAAAGTCTGAGAAGTCTCACTTTAGGGAAGCAAGGCACAGGTGACATCTCATCTCCCATGATATATGACAAATGGATGTATAGAAAGAGTAGAGAGGAAAGGAGGGGGCAAAGTGGTGGATTAAGAACAAAGTCAAGCTTACAGCCTCTTGTTACCAGCCATTATTTTTAATTTGCACAAAGAAGCACAATACTGTCAAAACAGTATTTTCATTATGAAAACTAATTTAATATGAGCTTTCAACAAGTGTAAGAGGAACAATTATGGAGCACTCTTAAATCTCTAGCCCCAAATAGGTGGGAAAGCACTAAAAGCATTGAATTTGAAGTTGAGGGCCTCAATTCTAATCTCATCTCTGCCATTTGCTGGCTTTGTCACCCTGAACAAGTCACATAACCTTTTTGAATCTATGAAATGAAAAAGTTGAGCAGAAAATATTTATGGGTCCTTTTCCAACTCTAACACACTCATGGTAGATATATCAGAGCCAATAAAATATAGTAAGACATGCAATTATTTAACTTGTACATTCCTAAGGTTGGGCAATTTTGTCGAATATGAAGTTTTAGGTTAGTTCAGGTAATATCTGGGGCAGTCATCCCAAAAGGACAACTCTGAAATCCTTGGGAGTCTGGGCTTTTCCTAGACTCCTCCTTCCCTCTGGTGCCTTGGGGGATGGAGTAGAAGCTGGACACAGGTCCACTGAACACCAAATGAACCTGGTCTTCTAATGCCCAACTCATGTAAAGAGACCCTCAAATTCCCTTTGAGTTCAAATCAAACCCCGCAGATTAACAAAAAGAAAGTTTACTAAGTCCTTATTATGTGCTAATTCAATACAAGGTACTAACAGGCAATTATAAATGAAATGTTCAACGTTGTTGCTGTCCTATGGAACCAAATGATATAGCTGGAGCGATATGGTTAACATACACCATTAACCAGATTGCAGATTAAGGTGGTGCATTGCCAAGTGCTGGATTAGGATCTTCGTAGGAATTCAGGAAAGGAAAGAATAATTGGGGAGGGAGAGAGGTAGGATGGGGTGGAAGGGGGTGGGAGTGTAGTCACAGGGAAGGTAGAACCTGAATCAGGGTCTTGAAAAAAGAAAAACTGGAATCAGCTTCAACAAATCAGTGAGCCCCTCATTATTCAGGTCTTAACAGGCATTAGCTCAGAGCAACAAATGTGAACCTATCACCTACCTGGAATACAGGAATGCCAGCAGCTTATCCAGTAGGTGAAGTTTCCCACTAGCCTCAATTAGGTGGTCTCCGACTTCAAAAGGCTCTGGCTCCACACCTGGAAAACAAAGAACCCACTCCCAGTAACCTGCCCTCCATCAGGGCAGACTTCTTGAGTAAAGAAACCAATAGCTAGGCGGTAGCAAGACAGGCCATGCTCCTTCTAATTGAGAGTGGGCCCAAGCCTCATCTCTCCTTGAGGCATTTTATAATTAGTTGTTTGCATGATGATCTCAGTGCTGCTTAACACCTATCACAGAGCCTGCAACACCCAACAAGCCTAAGAAACATTGATCTGCATAATAAACCCACTCTTGAGGAAACTGACACACTACAAGATGCTAAACATCAAGGAGACTCAAAATTAGAATCCTGGGGCTCTCACTCTAGAAGTGAATCAAGAAGCAGGCTTCCGTGTATAAACTAGTGATTCTCAAGGAATGGGGAGGCAGTCAGAATAATCCAGAGGGCTTCTTTCAAAATCTTCATGTTCCCAACATCTCCAACCCCTTAAAAAAATTCTGATACGCACCTAATTGAGATTCTATGAAATTGAAATTTTTGAACAGTTTCTAGCACTACTTGGTAAAGACTCCCTTAAAATGACTGCAGCAAACAGTCATTTGGCTTTGATCCTATCTATCCTAGCGCCTCCATGGGCACAGAGGTCCTGAAACTGCTCCAAAAGCTACCAATCACAATGAATCAAAAAAGTCCCAGTGTGGATAAAAATGAAAACACTGCACCATCAGAATTTGTAGGATGCAGCCAAAGCAGTGCTTAGAGGGAAATTTACATAAGCCTGTAAGAAGAGGAAACAGGAAAGGAGACTACAAAGAATAGTTGTAAGGTACGTGGAGAAGACAGCCTGTTATCCCAGAAGCCGAGGGAGGAAGCATTTCAAAAAGAAGTGTTCAAGCATGCCAAAGGCTTCTGAGAGAGCAACTAAAACATGAGCTGACAGATAACCATTGGTTGGGCAACATGGAGATCACCAGAGACCTTGGAATAATGATAATGGAAGGCTGACCAAGTGGGTTCAAGACAATGGAAATCTAATCATGAAGAAATGATGAGATAAATCTAGACTACAACACATTCCATAAAACCACTGGCCTTGATTCTTCATGTCAGGAAAGATTAAAAAAAAAAAAGATGTACAAACAAATCTGAAGAATGTTTCTAGATTATAGGACAATAAAGAGACATGACAAATGCAGTGTAGGACCTATGACTGGATCTTGGAAAAGAACAAAAGAAAGAGAAACGCAAAGGAAGTAAAGGAGAGTAAAGGAGAAAGGAAAAAAAAATATTCCAATAAGGTATATTATGGGACAACTGAAGAAACTTGAATATGAACAATATATAACACCAATACAAAGAAACTGAGAATAAACACAGACACAGTAAATATAGGCAATTCTTTTGAAGAATTTTGCATAATTTTGGCCTCAGAAATGTTAACAAAAAATAATGTAGGGAAAAAAGGGCACTGCCTTACCATCAAACAAATATGGGTGATCTACACACTTTCGGAGCTGGGACAAGATGTTCTGAAGTTTAACTTTCTTTGCCATCTCATTTTCAAACACATCTGAAATTTACCAAAAAAAAAGAGAGAGAGAGATGGACACTACTGAACAACAACAACAAAAAATTCTTAAGTTTCCATAAATTACATTACTTGTTTCCATCTTCAAAACTATATCAACCTCCCAAGTTTCACTGAATTGGATTGAGAATTAACAGCATGTCCATATGAAATTCTCTTAACCACCATTTTGTTTCAAGAAAGAAACCTAAACTATAAATTGAACTCAGAAATACTTTGTTATTGTTTTGCAAAATTCTAAATTTCCTTCTTTAACTGCTGCTGTGCAGTCAAGAGCCAAAAACATGCAAACTGAGAGATTATTCCACTCCTATCTCTCCCTTGTCATTCCCAGTATCCTCCCAATAAATTTAATTCAATAAAAAAAGTTTTTAATCTGTTAAATACAATAGTCCCTGCTTAATCTGTGGGGGATACGTTCTAAGACCTCCCGTGGGTTCCTGAAACATTAGATAGTACCAAGCCCTAAATATACTGTTTCTTTCCTATACATACATAAGTATGATAAAGTTTAGTTTGTAAATTAGGCACAGTAAGAGATTAACAACACTAATAAAATAGAACAATTATAACAATATAATTTAGCAGAAGATTCATTCTTAGCAACTTCAGCATTCAAATTGTTTTCTTTCCTTATCGATTGAAGATCTTTCACTTTTTCACTTAAAAGAAGCACTTTACAGCTTCTCTTTGGCTTTATTCAAAACATCAGCATCATTATTCTTGTGCTTTGGGGCCATTATTAAGTAAAATAAGGGTTACTAGAACAGAAGCACTGAGATACTGATACCGCAACAGTAGGTCTCATAACGGGCCAGGTACTAAGTGACTAAGGCAGGCAACGCTGACAGCTTGGAGATGCCGGACAAAGGGAGGAGTCACTGTCCAGGTGGGACGGCATGAGATTTCACTATGCTACTCAGAATGGTGCATGCAATTTAAAACTTACAAATTGTTTATTTCTGGTATTTTTCATTTATATTTTCAGACCACAGTTCACTGTGGGTAACTGAAATGGTGGAAAGTGAAACTGTGGCTAAGGGGGTTCCTGTATCTGATAGGGTGGAAGGATGAAAGGCATGACTGGGGCACCTAGAAGTGTTTACTCAATCACAGGCAGTAAGGAAAACTGGGAGGGGGGAAAAAGGAACTTTTAGGCCAGGCGTGGTGGCTCACGCCTGTAATCCTAGCACTCTGGGAGGCCGAGGCAGGAGGATCGCTCAAGGTCAGGAGTTCGAAGCTAGCCTGAGCAAGAGTCTCTACTAAAAATAGAAAGAAATTCATTGGCCAACTAAAAATATACAGAAAAAATTAGCCGGGCATGGTGGCGCATGCCTGTAGTCCCAGCTACTCAGGAGGCTGAGGCAGGATGATTGCTTGAGCCCAGGAGTTTGAGGTTGCTGTGAGCTAGGCTGACGCCACAGCACTCTAGCCCTGGCAACAGACTAAGACTCTGTCTCAAAAAAAAAAAAAAAAAAAAAGGAACTTTCACAACGGTAACAAGTCTGTGTTACATTTAAGGTACTGTCACAGTCTCACTGTAGCTGACCTGAGTTATTCAAAATACAAAATTCTGAATTTTTGGTGTACAAAGTGAGTATGATTACAAAATATTTCCCTGCATGAAAATCACATCCTCATTTAGTTTCTAAATTAACAAGTGCCCCTCTGATTACCTAGGTCTTTCATCAAAATGGCCTTGTAGTACTTTTTCTGCAATGCTGACATGCCGTGGTATATCACTACTTCTGTCTTCTTGGGAAGTTCTGCAGCTACCTCAGCTTTCACTCGCCTCAGCAGAAATGGCTGCAGGAGTCTGTGCAACTCGCTGGCTGTATAAGAAAAAAATACAAGAAGTGTGGGACAAGGCATTGAACTACTACAGAGCACACAGCAATTTATTTTCGTTTCTCATTTTCATGTTAATCCTGCTTTCTAGGCCAGTATGGTAATTTTTCATAGTGTTTCTTCCTTCACTGGGATCTTCTTTCCAACCCCTTCTGGAATCATTACTGGCTCTTAACCCAAGAACTAATAACATAACACTCAAAGAACTCGATTCTTACTAATATCATTTGCATGAAACTTTTGTTTTCACAGTATTTTTACATTTAATCTTATTGATCAGCACAACAGTTTAGAAATCTAGGGCAATACTGTTTCCATTTTTATAGCAGAGTTAAGTGAGGCTCAGGAAAATTAAGTAACTTATTTAAACTCACACAGCTGGAATGTGAATTTCTCCAACATTCATATTTGGTTCTTTTGACTTTGAATCCTTTGCCCCTTCCCCAGGTGTCTTCAAAATTTCAAAATTTATTCTTATAAACAATGAATAACTTGAATACAAGTATGTCCCATGTAATATTTAACTATATGTGTCCTAAATTTTATCTGGGAACCCTAAATATGGGAGTAATCAGAACAGGTTCCCCAAGTAATCTTCAGCCTGTGGTATGAGAATTTTGCTATGAGAAGCCCCTTGAACTCACACTTACCCTGTACATAAATACTGACTAGTTGGCATGTTTTGAAAAATCATCCCAGGATTAATATTATAGGGATAGACAGATAATTCTCCAAGGCAGAAGAAGGGCAAAGGTATGAGAGGAAGATGACTATAACTGCTGGCTATATGAATGAGGAAGGTTTCTTCCCTTCCACCTCCCATCCATGCCAGACTTTTGGTTTTGGAGCAGTGCTGAAAGAAACACGAGTGTTGCAATGCTGAACAGTACTTTGGGACTGCAGCACCCACATACTTTTATTTCTCAAGAAGTGGCATGTAAAGTCAACAAAGCCTTTATAGAAAGTAAAAGTCGGAAAAAAAAAAAAACTCTGCAAATCAGTAGGCACTTTCTACTTCTTCCAAAAATAAACCAAATAAGCTCTCTTGCAGAATCACATAACAAATGAGAGAGAGTCATGAATAGCCAGACAACTGGAAACAGCATTAGGGAGCTAATATCTACCTTATATGTGTGGCTCTTTATCTCCCTGGAAGGTATCCTCTGGTTATCAATTCTCTTTCTTTTCTACCTGTAATCATACTTCCTGTGCCAATACCTCTTGGGGATGATTTGTAGGGAAGGAACTTGCCTGACTCGGACTCTTTCTCAATATCCTGGTAACGTTGAACAAAATCTTCCACCTGCTCCTTGGGAAAATGTTCAGGCTCCACAAAACTGAGGAGGGAGTACAGTTCTTGGAGGCTATTCTGGATGGGAGTTCCGGTCAACAGGAGATTGAAGACTACTGAGAACTCAAATATATAAATAAATAAAATTAAAAACCCATAACATTGGAAGGCTGAGTTACCCATCATTACCTTTACTCACACAAAGAGAGGCATGACTTAATGGAATGACCAATCACCAAAAGGACATGGCACCAGAAGGCTCAGGTTCAAGTTGTATACTAGCTGTTTCACATAGGAAATAAATACCTCTTCAGTGTCAACTACAAGAAGGGGACAATAATCCTGTGAAGAAGATACTATTACTAGGATATAAGTGATAACCTTTTGTGGACTCTGAAGTACTATACAAGCACTCAACATGGTTAATCTATGTGGGAATTCAAACTGTGTTACCACCTACGAAGGGACCAAACTTCAATTATCATCACAAAAATTAACATATGTAGGCTCATGAAGGAACAAGCCCTTATCGGGTCAATAATAAAAAGAAAGAGCTACATTCCACTGGCTCCTCAGAAAAAAGGGCAAGTTTAAGCTACTGTGGTATTTCTCATCTGTTTTGCCAGAACGATGCAAGAGATCAAGAGAAGAGAATGAAAGACAAAGACAGGAGAGACAGGAGGTCATATCCAATAGCACAAAACTGTTCTCTTCATGACTCCATATGAATTGTCAAATATTTTAAACAGGTAAATTGGGGGAGGGGTACAATATGTCCAATATATTATATCTACTATGGCAGACAAAAGAACAGGAAGATTATTTTTTTAAAGAAATTGCCCCTTTGAATATGATCCAAAGAGAACTGAAACATTTCCAAAAATACAATGTATTTTATTGGGGTAGGGTCTTATTCATGTGATAACCAGATTTCAGTAAACATTATCTCCTATATAAAAGATGAAGAAGGAAAAGTTAGGCCATATTAAGTGCTACCTCTGTCACCCACAAAATGTTCATGTAACCCTATAGAAATCTGACAGAAAAAAAAGGTTTCAATTTAACTGACTCTATACAGGCCTAAACTAATAATATTTTTAAAAGGGAGTTAAGAAGGGGAAGGAGGGAATAATAGGTGGAGCACAGAGGACTTTTAGGGTAGTGAAACTGCTCTATATGATATTATAATAGTGAATGCATGTCATTATATACTTGTCCAATCCCACAGAAGGCACAACACCAAGGTGAACCCTAATGTAAACTATGGACTTTCGGTGATAATGATGTGTCAATGTAGATTTAGCAGTTGTAACAAATGTACCACTCTGGTGCAGGACATTGATGGTAGGGAAAGCTGTGTATTTGTGAGGGCAGGAATATACAAGAAATTTCTGCATTTTCTGCTCAATTTTGCTGCAACCCTAAAACTGCTCTAAAAATAAAGCCTATTAAAGAAAGGGTGGGGTATATAAAAACTAGCCTGTGAGTTTACCTCTGACAGAGTCTTATGCAGCAGGGAGCTTTGGTTTTTCAACCTGTGAGCTTCATCCACAACAAGAACACTCCAAGGGAATCTGTGAAAAAAAAGTCAAGCTTTCAGTTTTGTGTAACTTAAACATGAATCTCGCAATCAAAAGTCTTACTACAAAACCGTGACTGTTGTTAAAAAGCCTAATAGTAAGCCCACTATATTAGAAGCACAACCAAATTACCTTCCTATCTGAGAAGCTACCACGTACATAAGACAACATCTGGATAAGGTAGTAAGGTTAAGGGAATTTTCCTTCTTAGATGAGGAAATCCATGCAGAAAGGGAGGAGCCAGAGACAGAAAGGAAAAGGAAACATTTACGACCTCCTACTATGTGCCAGACACTGACCTTGGACTTTATGTGCTATTTAGTCCAAAAGAATATGGCAAGTAAACATAATTGTGCTCATTTTACCAATGAGGAGATTGAAGCTCAGAAAGGTGGTTGATTTGGTCAAGGTCACAAAAGTAGAGCTGATGTTCAAACACAGAAGAAAAATCAAGAGACAGTGATATCACAGTAGCTAAAGAAGTATGACTTTTAAATACAGAAGTGGCAAACAGAATCCAATGTTACAGAAATGCCCAGGAAGATACATCCAGGATTTGTGAATATGGAGGTCACTGGTGGCTGCTGCCAGAGCATGTTTTGTAGTGTAGTAAGTTACAGAGGGTCCAAAGAAAGTGCAGAAAGTCCAAGGAGAGGGCTGGGTAGCATGAGCAGAGAACACATTTAAGAATTACAAGGATCAAGGGTCCAGATGGAGTTAGACAACGGCCATGAGATAAAGTGTCGACAGTACAGTGCATAGTTCTATTTGAATTAGCCTTAAACCGATTAGGTCCTATTCCCTCATGAAAAACTAGACACTTAGGTTTTTATACACATAGGCATCCAATAAATGTTTGTTCAGTGAAAGAGGACACAGGGAGGTGGATTTGGGCTCAGCAACAGGAAGTGGATTAAATCACTCATCAAAGTGCATTCTAAAGGATGCTCCCTGAAGAGGAGGAGGTGGAAGGAAAACTGAATGGAGAGTCTGATGAAGTAACTTCTAATCCTTTTCTAATCTAATCTTCTGATCCAAAGAGTTTTGTCTATTGTCCAAAAAAATTTCAATGTTTTCACATTAACATGCATAGTCCTAACTATCCATAATTAACGTCTTTAGGGCAGAGATTATATTATACTTCTCTGCTATTCTCAGTGTGTAATACTGTAATATGCAATATAACCTTACCAAATATACTGAAAGAATACATCAATGTTTTGGGATTCATACTATAAGACAACATTATAAATGTCCCTCTCTTACATAGGTCCTTAAATCCACCTGGAAATGCATTCAAAATAGATTACCTGAGATAGATTACATTTGTACTGAATAATGTGAAAACTCCAGTGCACTGAGCTACTTTCTGAAGCTTCCTTAAAAGGAGGCTCTATCTATAGCACTGAGTGCTGGGTTTAACGGTCTGCTTTGTCATTTATCAGCAATGTACCTTTGATGGGTTACCTAATCTCTCACTTTCTTCATATTTAAAATGGATGATCATACCTTCCTACTAGGGTTTTCATGAACATTAAATGGGATAATGTATGTAAAGTACCCAACAACATTTATGTCCCAATTGTATTATCTTTTGAGACTTCCTATATATTGTCATGTATTATGAATATTTGTACACTTCTTATCCCTGTGCTGGAGTTTATGTCCTCTTAGGGTAGCTCTACAATTTACTTTTCTGGTATTGATGATAACTCTCCAAACGGTGCCTTTCTAGTGAGACTTTCAACAAATATTAAGACTTTCAACAAAAATTAAGTTGGACTTTAATATTATAATAAAAAGAAAAAGGGAAACCATATCCTCTTCCTAAGATAAATGTGCTCACTTAGATGAAATACTAGATAGAAGTCATAAAATCTATGACCTAGCCTTTAGTATTTCAAAATAAGATGAAAATAGAACTCCAACTCACAAAAACACACATGAAAAATAACATTTAAAATATTGATTAAGTGCTTTGAAAACAAAAATTTCTGAATATTAAAGATGCAGAATCCCCACCTAACCATGTCATAACTACACAAGTTACAGAGAATGAAATGCTGTCAACATGGCTTTCTCTCTTACTTACCTAAAATCTAGCTTTTGTTTAATTTACATTATAACCGTTATCTTGACCTGACCATATACTGCAACATGTCGTTCCTATTATCAGGTGGCACTAAGAGTTAAATCTAAGTTTCCTACACTTCATGCACCAATATGAGGCCTAAAAGTTAACTGATTAGAAGTATACTTAAAACTCCCTTTCTTAAGTTAACTCTAGAGCACTGATTGCTACCTTAGGTTACTCCCAGGAAAAGGCTCAAATGAATCACATCCTACATTATATTACAATCTCTAAACAGTAGTCCTGAAAAGTATCTATGCAAGTTGTAGCATAAACAATCTAATATCTGTTAACCACACCGTTTATACTGAATCTCATTTAATTCTCACACTAGCCATCCAAAGTAAGAAACAACTATTACAATTTTACAGATGAAGCTGAAGTTCATAGAGATTAAATAACCAAAGGACACACGGAAAGAACATAGGACTTCTGCCATGCTGCCAATCCATGAATGGGACTCATAGAAGACACACCAGACACCAGAAAAGAGACAAAGTACTAAAATGTGAAGGAAAACCATGACTTTCATAATGCATTCAACACAGTTTTGTGAAGTAGTACAACCTACTCACGATTTTAGAAAAGATGCATCTTTCAAGCATATCTGAAAAATCAAGGAAGACAAGTTACAAAGGCCAGTATTGATAAACTCTGATATTAATAGCTAGTTTTTCTGTAAGTACAGAATTTATCTAACTCTTATTTGTTCACTAAGTAAAAAAAAAAAAGTCCTAAGCATAATTTCTAAGTCTTATGAACAACAAGGGAGGTATGATTAAGTAGAAGGTATAACCTATAGTGACCCAGATAGTCTTAGCACGAAGAACAAGGATTTACAATGAGACTGGAACTAAGTATCCTCCGTTCCTATCCTCCAGTAAGAAATATGTTGCCTTGATCCACAAAACCCTTTCCCCTGCCTGCCGGACTGTTATCAACCAAGAGGTAGCTTAAATGCCACCTCCCTGAGAAGCCTTCCCCCTTGATCCACCAGGAAAGAGAGAGAGAGATCTAACTAATGTGAAGCATAACGATCTTCATTTCTCTTAGTCATACCCTCTCTTTGAGAATCTGATGAAGGCAGACTCTCTTACCAGAAAAATAGGCGCTCTCAAAAAAAAAATTTAGGCTGGGCGCAGTGGCTCACGCCTATAATCCTAGAATCCTAGCACTCTGGGAGGCCGAGGCGGGAGGATTGCTCGAGGTCAGGAGTTCGAAACCAGCCTGAGCAAGAGCGAGACCCCCGTCTCTACTAAAAATAGAAAGAAATTCATTGGCCAACTAATATATGTAGAAAAAATTAGCTGGGCATGGTGGCGCATGCCTATAGTCCCAGCTACTCGGGAGGCTGAGGCAGGAGGATTGCTTGAGCCCAGGAAGTTTGAGGTTGCTGTGAGCTAGGCTGACGCCATGGCACTCACTCTAGCCTGGGCAACAAAGCAAGACTCTGTCTCAAGAAAAAAAAAAAAAATTAAATATCATTTCACTGGATTCTACAACTTCTGAGGTCCCAGGTCAGGAGTTCTTGCCACAGAGAAACAAATGGATACCTCATAGGTAGTCAGCAGCACATGAAAATGTGACTGTTGCTGCAGATCTTGCTGAATGTGAGCTCTTTCCTCCTTGTCGCCTGCATATGTTACACAGGAAAGGCCTGGAGCAAACCTGAATCCAAGAAAAGAGGCAGATGAACAAACACAAATGCTAGAGTCACGGGACAGGGTTATATGCACATAGGGAAAATTACATTTCAGGGAAGGATTGCAATGTGCAGACCCTCATGAGCTCCAGCAACCAGAAGGAATCCTGGGGGCTTTGCATTTTTTCTAAAGTACAATTAACACATTGACTGCCACACTAGAAAATTTTTTCCTTCGGGCCACAGTGTTTCATTACAAACATAGAATAAAAATTTCAAAAACAAAATGATCCTTTCTAATTTAATGAAAAAATCTGTCATTTTTAATTGTTTTCAGAGCGTGAGTTATATGCAACTTGAAAAACAGTTGTCATGACTCCCAAGGTAAAGAGACATGTGAGTTACATATGCTGCATGAAGCCCCAGGCTCAAAACTAGTGTGAGTTAAATGCAACTCACATGGCTGTTAAATGTGTTAAACCTCAGGGCAAGTTCCTATGTAAATAGGTAGAAGAGCTCTAAAAAGTCTTGTGCTGACTCTAAAAATAAAATTTTTTTTTCCATGTTATTTACTTCCTATGTTACTAGGGAAAAGGTGGTTTCTCCGTTAGATCATCAAAATTTACTAAAAATGAGTGCTGACGTTAATATAAATTGTCAAATAGTAATCATAACATCCATTCGACCCTCCCCCTATCATATCCTGAAGGTCTACCTACAGTGCATCAGTTTAGAGTTTTCTGGAATAAACTCACTGAATATGACAATGTGTTGTTTTTGTCATATTTTACATATCATCCAAGAAAAAAAAACTTCAATGTAAGCAATACAATTTCAGTTAGATCCACTTTGTACCTTGCCATCTCTTCTTTCCAGTTGCTCAAAACAGATAAGGGACAAAGAATCAGAAACGGTCCTTCATCATTTAATCTTCCCGCCAAGTAAATGAAGAGAGCAATAGCCTGGAACATAGAAAAAGAAGGCAGTTTTGATTACATTTCCTCATAAGAAACAACCGCAAAGTTCCCACAACCCTGTAGGGAATACAAACTCTTACGTATGGCTTGCTTTACAAAGAAATAATGTCCAATCTTCCACACATTAGAAGAGTAATCTCTTCCGAGAGTGAAATCATGTAAGCCTCAATATACTTGCCACAAAAATTTACAGTACTCAATTACTTTGAGTTAACAAGCAATGAAGCTCAATATTTAGGTAACTGAACCTCTACTGCAAAGAAAAAAGTCAGGAAAGAAAACAGAAATCAATGAAAATACTGCAACTGATGGACAAGATCAGGAATACTCTGAAAATACAAAGCAAGAAGGGCCAAGACTGTAAAAATGACCAATCGCATGGAGGCCCTCTGCTGTCCGCCAGGCTCTCCTGAGGATATTTTTCTTCCCTCCTAACTTTCTCCCTCCTTTCCCTACTATTTTCCTTCATCCTATGTATATCTACAGAGCGTCCTCTATTTGCTAGAACTGTTCTAAGCTCCAGTTACACAACAGTGAACAAAATAGATGAAACTGCTAGCTCTCTTGGAGCACACATTCTAACAGGGAAAACAGACAATAAACAATCCTCCGAAGCTTAAGTAAGGGTATAAAATGAAAAATCTTTGTAAAGGCAGATGGGCATACTGCAGGAGATTCCGGCACACGCTTTTGACTTGAAACTTGCTGTGATATACAGAGAAAAAACACTCTTATTTCAAACAAAATGTGTTAGGAGCTTCCATCCCCAAATGCTGAGTTATTTCTGAGATAAATCTATTCTAAGGATATAATTGAAAATCCTGAAAAAGCTATAAGCCCAAAGATGTTCACATCAAGATTAATTTAAATTGAACAAAAAAGGGGGGAAATCATCATTTACCATAAGTAAATTATGATAAATTCTCTTGATGGAATATTATGCGGCCAGTTGATAAGAATGAGAAGAATATAATAAAATGGAAAACAACAATGATGGTGCCAGATTAACAAAATACAAACCATATGTGCACTATAATTTCAAACATGCAAAACATTAACATTTCTACTAATGTTTGTGGTTAGAACACTGTGACTATAGGGCGGTAGTTAATTTTTATAATGAAAATAGTCTTCTTTTTAAATTATCTATGGCTTTGCAGCCCAAACCATGCCCAGAACAATCCTTTAATAAATGACTTACTAGATTAAAACCATTCTGTTTAGTTTTTCCTGAGGATACAATTTAGAGAAAGTTTTTCTTTTATTACCATAAGCCAGATATGTCTACAAAATAGATTTGGAGTCACTAGTGAATTCTACCAAACATTTAAAAAAGAAATGACACCAATCTACATAAAGTCTTACAGAAAATTGAAGAGGAAGGAACACTTCTCAATTCATTCTACAAGGCCAGCTTTACCCTAATACTAAAACTAGACAAAGACATTACAAGAAAAGGAAATTAGATTGGTTTCTTTCATGAACATAGATGCAAAAATTCCAAACAAAATTTTAGCAAAACAAAAATTTTGCTAATATTTGTTTAGCAAAGGTGGTATATTTTTAGGGAGCTTAACATAGAGCTATGCAAACAACCCAGGGAAATAAGCAGAATTTGCTGGCTCTGAATGAAGTCAGTAGGGCAATTCCAATGACCAGGGCAAAAGGGCACCCTTTCCTAGTGCAAGAGCCAGTTAGACTGGATCCCAGAGATATCATCGTTGTTCTAGCACCATAGGTCTCAGATAAGGAATGTATTATACTAGTACCAGATTTGTTTGCCTGAGAAAGCTGAGGGTGGTAATAAATGAAGTTACCCCAGGACACTCTACTCTGAGGTCACAATGCATTCAGAATAATTCCAAGATTGGCAAGGCACACCTGGCTTAAATAGTCTCCAATATATAGGCCTACGGGCAGAATTGCTACAGCTTAATGTTTCTGGATACAAGGTTAGCTTTGGTGGTGGCAGTTGAGCTTCCAAATGGACTAATGAGACCCTTGCTTACTCTGTGTGTTCACTGACAAAACCTTTTTGGGATTGGGAAACATATCTCCATGGTTTCTGATCAAGCTGCCTCTGCTGTGTGTCCTTACTGCACTGACCTTCTTTGGTTCCCTATAAATATGTAAACCTTGTGTGATTAACCCAAGGGGTGTCTGTGACTGGACTTCGCATCATTCCAAGCCCACCACTGACCACTGACATCTGTCAGCCTGGGACAGTGCTGGTGATCATCCTGCCAGAAGCATCCTGCCACCACCTGCTTGCAAACGCCCAAGGAGGCCACATCGGATTCTCCAGGTCTCACGACTTTATCCCATTCCTTTTAAGGCAATTAGATGGCCGAGTCATCTTTGAAAACTAAGGGTACTTCCTCCATACTTCTCTAGCACAGTAGAGAAGTGGGAAGGAGCTGCACCCCCACTGAGGAAGGGTAATTAATATAAGTAGTGATCCAGTTAACTACATAAAGTATCACTAACGAGGTTAGTCAATTTGATCCCTGGGCAGGTATACTTGCTTGACGTAGAGAAAAACTCTGTATCCAAGCCCATTAATTGCAATTGTAACTCAGGCATGTCTTTTCACAGACATATGTCAAAGGCCAGATGAGATAAGGGTAGTGACACAATTCAAAACTATCCTCTCAACTAGAAAAATAAACTCCAAGGTTGTGATCTCTTAATAAAGTTTCAAGCATTTCACCTCCTAGTATAAAAAGACATTCTGTAGCTAGCAGCTAAGACGGGAATGCATTGTAAGGAGGCATTTTTGTGCAGGTGAACCGTGGCTGTCCCCCAGTAACATACCTGGCAGGTCTTCCCCAGGCCCATCTCATCTCCCAGGATGCAGCCATTTTGACAATGGAAGCGCTGGGCTAGCCAGTTGACTCCCTCCAGCTGATAAGAGCGTAGATGAATCCCTAGAAATAAAAACATATAGCAAATCTGAGGGGTAGACATTTCGGCACATACACAGGCAAATGTCCTAAGGCTTTGAATGAAGAACATGGCCTAAATTCCCATAACTACAAACCTTATTGGTCTTATCTCTCACTGGGAAGTTATGGATATGTAAATACCTGCTGACTTCCAAACTACTTTTTGAGCAGACTTAGTCAACATTATATTCAAAGCCCTAAAACAGCCTGTCATTGTTACCTGATCCACTTGACAGATGAGAAAGCCATGCTGGGATTTGGCCTCTATACTGCCCATGTCTCAGCATCCATTCTGGGAAATGAGGCATTACTGACGGAACTTAACAACAAACAACACATGGACTGTACTGTGTTTGTCTGCTTAATTGCATCCGTTTAAATTTGCTGTTGGTGCTAAAGGAAAAACACCAATAGCACTAATAGTGAGACAGGACCAGACTACATAATGCTTCAAGAGAAGAGGAGTGTTAAGAATGGAAATGATGGCCGGGCGCTGTGGCTCACGCCTGTAATCCTAGCTCTTGGGAGGCCGAGGCGGGCGGATTGCTCAAGGTCAGGAGTTCAAAACCAGCCTGGTCTCTACTATAAATAGAAAGAAATTAATTGGCCAACTGATATATATAAAAAAAAAAAAAATTAGCCGGGCATGGTGGCACATGCCTGTAGTCCCAGCTACTCGGGAGGCTGAGGCAGGAGGATCGCTTGAGCCCAGGAGTTTGAGGTTGCTGTGAGCTAGGCTGACGCCACGGCACTCACTCTAGTCTGGGCAACAAAAGCGAGACTCGTCTCAAAAAAAAAAAAAAAAAAAGAATGTAAATGATGCTTTATAAAGGGTGTTTAACAGTGTACAAGGATGGCAGAAAATGTCTGAAATCCACATGGAGCTTCTGCTGCCTCTCTTTTCTCTTTCCCTTGGGGAAAAAATCCAATTTCAGAGAATAACTGTATCTTGGGAATATGGAAGACCTTAACTATACTTTATGTAAGAACTATTAGCAAAAATATAAGTGTAATTTAATTCATGATTTTAAAAAATCTATATAATATATAATTGTAGAACATTACAAAATGAACAATAGCTATTTTTCTTAGGTGCTTACTAAATATCAGGGAAAGTAGTGAACACTTTATGTAAATTATAATATCTCACTTAATTCTTATAACAATCCTATGCAGCAGGTACTATTTCTATTTCATAGATTAGAAACTTCAGATAGTCAAAGAAGATTGACATGTGAAATCTGGAGACTTCTGTTTCCAGAAAGATGGAGTATATGTTTTATTCCTCCTGATAGCCCCTGGAGGTGATATATAACACAAACATAAGGAGACTCTGAAAGGTATAGTGAAGAAGCAGACTGGCTAGGAACCTCAGGACCTGAGGAATGACAGAGTAGTAAGTTCCCTGGGATTTCTTTTTAAGAAATCAGCAAACTAGAAATGCTAATTAGTGTAGACCAAACAAACAAAAAAAACAACATCCAACAAAAGCCTGCTCCTGCTAGAAAATGGCAGTCTAGCAAGACAGAAAACTTTCAGACAATAACTGCTCTATTCTAGCTGCCAAACACCACAGAAAAAAAATCTGTGGCCCCACCCACACCAGCAAAGTGGGGAGCACAGATTTTTATGCACAGGTATAAGGAATTGCCCAAACACCCCAACAAGGTTGCTATAAGAGAAGGTCAAGTAGGGAGCTGGGATTTTTGTCCCCACCCACCAGTTACGAGACCCTCCCCCTCCACTTTTGCCCTCCCCTGCAGTATCAGAGGAGACCATGCCAGGAGCCAAAACTCCCACCCTCACCCAGCAGGAAAGAGAAGCCCCTTCCCAAACCCCAGATTTCGAATCACCCCACACAGGCTGAGTGGGTGAGCCTAGATTTCTAGCCCCAAAATGTCCAGGTTCCAATTAAAAAGCATTTATCACACCGAGAACTGGGAAGATTTCATATTGAATAAAAAAAGATAATCAATAGATGTCAGCACCCAGATAACATGATGTTAGAATTAACAAAGATTTTAAAGCAATAATGAGAAAAATGCTTCAACAAGCAATTACAAACACTCTTGAACAATTGAAAAAATAGAAAGCCTCAGTTAAGAATAAGAAAACCTCAGCAAAAAAATAAAAGATGTAAAAAGACAGAATGGAAATTTTAAAACTGAAAAATACAATAACCAAAATAAAAGGTTAATTGATGAGACCAGTAGCAGAATGGAAGGAAGAGAGGAAACAATCAATGAACTGAAAGAACAGTAGAAATTACATAATCAGAGCAACAGAGATAAATTAGGCTGAAAAGAAATGAAAAAGTTCCTCAGGGAACTGTAGGACTATAACAAAAGATCTAATGTTTGTTCATTGGTATACAACAAAAGAGAAAGAAAGACAGGGCTGAAAAAATACTTAAAAGAAATAATGGCCAAAAACTCCCCAAATTTGGCAAAAGACCTACATATTCAAGAAGCTGACTGAACCTCGAACAGAAAAAAAAAATCAAAGAAACATATACCAAGACACATAATTATTAAAACTGCTGAAAACTAAAGACAAAGAATAGCTTGAAAGTAGCCAGAGGAAAACAATATCTTACTTATAAGGGAAGACTATTTGAATGACAGACTTCTCATCAGAAACTTAGAAGCCAGACAGACATGGCACATTTTTCAAATATTGAAAGAAAATAACTGTCAACCCAGACGCCTACAACCAACTAAAATTTTCTTCAGGAATAAAAGCAGAAATCAAGATGTTCTCAGATGAAGGAGAAAACTAAGAGAATGTGTCACCAACAAACTTAACCTAAAAAAAATGGTTAGGCCTGGTACGGTGGCTCACACCTGTAATCCTAGCACTCTGGGAGGCCAAGGCGGGAGGATTGCTCGAGGTCAGGAGTTCGAAACCAGCCTGAGCAAGAGCGAGACCCATCTCTACTATAAATAGAAAGAAATTAATTGGCCAACTAATATATATATAGAAAAAATTAGCTGGGCATGGTGGCGCATGCCTGTAGTCCCAGCTACTCCGAAGGCTGTGGCAGGAGGATTGCTTGAGCCCAGGAGTTTGAGGTTGCTGTGAGCTAGGCTGACTCCATGGCACTCACTCTAGCCTGGACAGCAAAAATTATAACATTGCCTCATGTGGTTCTAAAAGTATATAGTGGAAATATTTAAGATAATTATGTTATAAACAGAGGAAGGTAAAGGGATATAAAGGGAGGTAAGGTTTCTATACTTTATTCAAATAGGTAAAATGACAATATCAGCAGTCTGTGAATATACATATATATGCACATGTATATGTGTATAAGATGTAATACCTATAACAACTATTTAAAAAGCTAGACAAAGAGATAAACTCAAAAACACTAAAAAGAAAAATAAAATTCTAGAAATACTTCACAGGAAAGCAAGAAAAAGAAAACAGAAATGAAAACAGAGCGATAAAAGGAATAAAAATAAAATAGCAGACTTAAGCTTTAACATATCAAAAGTTACATGGAAATACAAATGGTATAAGTACACCAATTAAAAGGCAAAGATTGCCAAAGTAGATTTAAAACATGACCCCAAATTATAAATTGTCTACAAGAAATTCATTTCAAATATAAGTATATTGATTGGTGAAAGCAAAAAGATGGAGTCGTAGACAAAATAGTGGCCCTCACGACAATGTCCAAGTCCCCACCTCAGAACCAGTGGGTATGTTACTTTACATGGCAGAAAGGACTCTGCAGATATAATTAAGGTTAAGGGCCTTGAGATGAGGAGATTATCCTGAATTACCCTGGACAACCCAGGCAGACCCCATTCTGATCACATGAGTCTTTAGAACGCGCTGCAGTTGGAGAGAAAGATGACTATAGAAGAATGGATACAATGTTGCTGGCTTTGAAGATGAAGGAAAGGGGCCAAGAGTCAAGGGATGTGGGCAGCCTCTGGATGCTGGAAAGAACTAGGAAATATATTTTCCTCTAGAGTCTCCAAAAAGGAGCACAGTCTTGCTCACACTCAACAACAGTAGAATACACATTCTTTTCAAATGCCATGGAACATACACAACACATTCAGGGCCATAAAACAAATTTTAACAAATTTAAAAGAACTGAAATCAGAGTGTGTTTTCTCACCACAACACAACCAAATTAGAATCACTGACAGAAACGTTAAGAGGAAATCTCCAAACACTTGGAATCTAAACAACATACTTCTAAATAATCCTTCAAAGATTAAATCTCAAGGGAAACAAATATCCTGAAATGAATACAAATGAAAATACAACATATTGAATTTTGGGGGCAAAAATTAACTCAAAATAGATCATAGGCTTAAAGGTAAAAACTATAAAACTTTTAGGAAACAATAAAAAACTCTGTAGGATCTAGGCCTAGGCAATAAGATCTTACACTTGACATCAAAAAAACTATCCGTAACAGGAAAAATTGGTAAATCGGTAAATTTTAGCCAAAATTTAAAACTTCTGCAAAGCACATATCTGAGAAAATACTAGTATCTAGAATAAACAACTCTCAAAACACAATAGTGAAAATACAAAACAATCCAATTAGGGGGGCGGGTAAAAAAAAAAAAAAAAAAAACAATCCAATTAAAAAATGGGCAAAAGACATTAAGAGAGACTTTATCAAAGGGGTTATAGATATTATTAGTCAACAGGAAATTAATATTATAATGACAAAATATCATTACACTTATATTAGAATAGCCAAAATAAAAAGTGACAATACCAAATGCTGACAAGGATGTAAAGAAACTGGATCATTCATACATTCACTCTGGAAAAGGTATGGCAGTTTCTTCAAAAATGAAACATGCAATTACCACATGACCCAGCCACAGCACTCTTAGGAATTTATTACAGAGAAATGAAGATTTATTTTCACACAAAATCTGTATACATATGTTTATAACATCTTTTTTTTGCAACAGCCAAAAACCAGAAACAACTCAGATATCCTTCAGTGTGTGGTTAAAATGAACACCTTCAACAATAAAAAGGAGTGAAGTACTGATATACACAACCATCTGCATTAATCTCCAGAGAATTATGCTCAATGAAAAACACCAATCCCCAAAGGTCATGTGCTATATAATTCTATTTAAATGTAATTTTTAAAAATGACAAAATTATAGAAATGGAGAACAGATTAGTTGTTGTTAGGGGTTAAGGCATGAGTGGGAGGGAACTGAGTGTAGCTATCAAAGGGCGACTTGAGGGATCTTTGTGGTGACAGAAATGTTCTATATCTTGACTATATCAATGTCAGCATCCCGGTTGTGATAATATCATAGTTTTGCAAGATATTAGCACTGGGGGAAACTGGGTAAAGGTTATGTGGGATCTGTGTATTATTTCTTACAACTGTATGTGATTCTATAATTACCATAAAATAAAAAGTTTAATTTTTAAAAATGACATGATATTATATCCATAAAGATAACAGTACTAAACACTTAGGAGTCAAATGCAAAAAACAGAAATAACCCTAGGTAGTTTTGTCAGAAAGGGGTTTAATATAGAAAATTAGATCACCATAAAATTGTTGAAAGGGCTGCAGTAGTAGCCTCCGGGCTAAGCTTCCAGGTACAACTGTGGATCAGCACCACAGAACTGGCCCACCAAGGAGGCATCTACCTCCAAGACCAGGAAGACAGGAACCAACTAGGAAACCACTAAAACAACTGTCAGCTCCAGGAACCTAACATCTCAGCCACAGTCCATGCCAACAAAATGAATGCTCTGTACCCTACCCAAGATCCATGAGACAGTAGCCACGAGGGAAGCAGAAAACTGAAATCCCTCCCAAACTGTGCCCTTTCCCTCACTTTCCCATTCCAAATCCCCCATAGTCATCTGCTTAGTCAAAGCCAAGTCACATGCACAACAGAACCACAGGGCAGTCTGGGAAATGTAGTCTTTTGTTTTCTAACCTCCAGGATGTGGATTCTCTTGTCCACCTGGGAGGCAGATGACTGGTAGAATAGCAAGACTAGGTCTGCATATTCTAGAAAGAAAAGGTCCTAAAGTATCTTCATGATTCAAAGATGAATATCTAAAAATCCATCAATACTAGTAATCAAATAAACATAAAACAATAAAGCATTTTAACTTCTCAAATTAGAAAATGACAGTGTTATTCTGAGTATGAATAAAAATTTTGCATACTTTTAATTGTTAAGGAATTAAAAAGCCATAACTATAATAAATAATTGGTCACAAGTAATAATCATAAGTATCAGCATTACTTATAATAGCAAAAAAAGAAAAAACCTAAATAAATACCTAATTGTAGGGACTGGCTAAACTATGCTACATTCATATACTGAAATGCCCTATAACCATTAAGAATGATGTTGAAGAATACTAACTGATATGGGGAAAATTATGATTTCCAAAAGTATGCATATGAAACCCCAGTTTTGTACTTCCTCACCCCTCACCAGAAGAAAAAGGAAATTATACACACATGCAGATCAAAGATTGGCAGGATAGATGACATGTTAACAGTAATAGGAATATGGAGATTAAAATTTCTTCTCTCTACGTATAGGCTCTTCTCTAAATGTTTCATGGAGAATATGTACTACTTCTGTAATCAAAAGAAAAAATCAGTTAAGAACTTTATTAACCAATTCAAAAACCATAGTTTCTACAATATTCATTTATTCTTGCAAGTAGAAATAGGAATTACAAGTTATAATATTCAATAGCTATACCTTTGACTATGACTATTTTCTATTTTTCCTTCTTTCCCTCCAATAGCAATTTATCCAATTTTCCACGTTTGCCGATACACTTCTGCACTTCCTCCATCCCACCCACTCCAATTTGCAACCTCCTGCTTACTCATTTTCAGTGAAACAACACTTGTGCATACGCCTGTTGCTCCTGGAGTACTACCAGGAGCACTGCTGAGTATCAATGTACACGTATTTCCGAGCCCTCTCTCACACAAGTTCTCAAAGAACCGTTCCCAACAGCACTTGCAAGGAAATATGCAAGCACACAAACACACACACTTTAGCCAAGATATGTCAAACATAAAAAGGCCGGTCCATAAACTCATGCTTAAATTGGATACACAGACTCAGGGACTCAAGCAGAGGGCGGTCTTTCTCCCTAACGTCGGGATCCTCCCCATTCACCTTCTTTTGTTGCGTAAGGAACCTCACACTTTCCGAGGTCTGGAGCACACAGTGTCAGCTCAGTAAACACTTGCTTATACTTTTAAAAAGCACTGTCACTGACTAGTCTAGGACTCCTGGTGGGCAGGGCCCATACTTGTCTTGCTCCTCTCAGTGGCCTGCGCCTAGGATTGCACGCTCTCAGTAGGGTTCAATAAATAACGACTAAACGCCTGCATTACGGACCATTGCCGACGCCCGACTCCGTCCCACAGCCCAGGCCCGCGCCGCGCCCCCCGTGTGTTGTGCCGAAGCGCCCGGAAGGCCCTCGGGAAGGGCCGGTGAGATAAAACGGGCAGTTCCGTGCGTGCGGTGGACAGCCCACAGACTTTGCCTGGCTGCAAAATACCGCGTTGGCGGAGAGTTCATCAGTGGCGAACTATCGAACACCTGCACGTGCACAGCAAACCGAGAAGAAAACTGAAGTTGGGAGATGAGTTCTGATAGTTTTACCGAAGGAACCAATGACCCCCGCCCCCCCAGGCCAGGACCCAAACCCACCGGAAGAGCAGCTTTTAATCTGCACCGCCGGGGCGCCAGGACGCCCAGCGCGCCTCCGCAGGCCCGCACTTGCGCGGACCTTAACTCAGTTTCCCCTCCCGCGGGCCAGGCCCGCAACTCCACTCGTTCCGCGTCCGCCGGCCCGCGCCGCCCTGCGCGGGGGCTCCTCTCCGCCCGCTCTCCCTCAGCGGGAAGGGAAGGCCCCCGCGCCGCAGGCAAGCAACCCACGGGCGAGGCCCGTCCCGGCGAGTTGGCCGGCCTGGGCGCAAGTTCGCCCGCAGCCCACGCACCTGTCAGCCCCCACTGCCGCAGGTCCTGCTCCTGCACCCGCGCCCGCGCCGCCTCGGGGCTGCCCGCGCGCTGCAGGGCCAGTAAGAAGCCGGGCATGTCGCCCCGGCGGGCCGCTCCCCCATCGCGCTCCATCCGGCCCGGAGAGGCCCCGCCCGCGCGGCCCGGCGCTTTTCCTTAGCGACGCTCAGGGCGGGCCCGCGACGCACCCGGCCGACCTGCGGGCGCGGCGGCCGCCAGGGGGCGCTCCTGCGCAGGTTCCCGGGCCGGCGCGGGTGGTCGGCGTTGCCCTAGTGGTGGCTCTTTCCCGACCTGCTGCAGTGCAGGGCGCCGGGCGGGCAGCCCTGGCCTCGCCAGCGTGCTTTGGCTGTGCTTATGCGCCTGGGAGGCAACTGGTTGCCTGAGATGTTTTTCAGGGGGCCGCAAGCGGCTCTTTCATTATCTTATCAACTTTGTCAAGTATCAGATACCCCGCGGGGCTCTGGGAGGTGTAGAACTCAGTTAAGACTTCTTCTCTTCCCTGCCCTCCAGGGATTCACAACAAGATTGTAAAGATTGCTTATCTTAGTTTACACTAGCGATAAATTGGTTTAGGCTCTGTAGTCCCCTATCAGCTGCAGGCCAAAGATAGGTACCTCTGAATGGTAGTAAATTAAAATCACGCAAGACGTCATTGCTGCAGTGAATATCTCGAGTGAATTATGGGGAGCAGATGGAAGCAAGGTGTTAAGTTAGGGTTCGCCATGACTCAACATCTGCTTTGAGTGGATTTATGTATTCCACTAGTCTAAATATCATGATAACAACAAAATGCTGCATTTTTTATGTAGTTCTAGGTGCTGCCCTAAGGGCTTGACATAAATTTTCCCATTTAACTCTCACAACCCTATAAGTAGGTACTATAATTGTCTCCCCTGCCGGGCCAGGCCATCTTGGAATGGTAATTGGCAAAACTGGAACAGGAGCTATATTATTGTCTGGGTAATGTCCTCAGAATACTACTCTCATTTAGGTTAACCTTGGTGGTTCCCTCTTCAGTAAACTCATGTTAAAATTGCACACCCACCCCCATCCTCACCTTTCCCTGAAATAAATTTTGTGTCTTGTGTCATTCCATAAATACTGATTGAGCCACATACTATGTGCCAAACACTCTTTATGGTACTATGTGGACCTTATATTTTAAAAGGAGGAGACAGTCAATAAACGAATAAAAATCAAGTAGGATTGATGCTTAAACAAAAGTAAAAGAGTCAAGGAATGGGACTGCAGTGATTTTTTTTTTTTTTTTACAACAGCTTTCCTACTTTGGCATATTCTCAAAACCTTAAGATAGATTTGTATTCTTTGGTGGCTTCTCTAAAGGGCCTTCTGTCCTATGTGGCTGCTCATGAGTGGTTTGTGCATCCTGGTCTCCATGTTTGACTTATTTCCTCCCCTCCAGACTACTGGTAGACTTATCTGCTGAAGCAGCAATATCAACCACCTACCACATCAACAAAGGGCTGTTTATTATTTTAACTTATAAAGCACCTTTGTTTTAACAGAATACCAGAGATAGAGTCCTACTTAATAAGCCAAGTAGACTGTCGGTATATGGCATCTGGCACCTAAAATGCAGCTAAGAAAGGCAGCTGAGAGATTCCAGTTCTGCTAGTGAAGTTTTACTCTGGGTGCTTAATAAAAACAGTCTGTCGAGGGGGCAGGGTGGAAGTGGAAGACCAGTTTGGAGATGATTGCAATAGTCTGGGCAAGAGATGATAGTGACATCATCATGGTGCCAGCCTGGTGACAGTGGCGTGGTAAGTATCAATCAGATACTAGATATATTGAAAAGATGAAGCCCATGGGATTCACTGATTGAGCATCTGGAGAAATGGAAGAGCAGATGATGATTTCAGGGATTTGGCCTGAGCAACTGGTAGAATGGAGTTGCCATATGGAAGGAGAATGATTGAGGATAAGGACATTTGGGGGAACATCAAGTGTTCATTTTTGAAGAAAAAAAGAACTCATTTTTGGACAGAGTAACATAAGACAGTTATTAGATATCCAAGAGAAATTTTGATTAGGTAATTGGATAGTCTAGCCTAGAGTTCAGGGTTGGAACTGAATATGTAAATATAGAAGTCAAAATTTTAGGGTGGAACGGAACCCTTGGTAGTGGATGTGATCACCTTGTTGGGCCGTAGAAATGTACAGCCCGTTTGGGAGAGAGACGACCGCCCAAAAAGACTCAGAGTCCAGAGGCTTGATGCAAGAGAGCAAGAGGATTTATTTCCAGCACGGCGCAGGGGCTAACAGCATCACCAAGATGGGGAGGCTGCCGCGCCGAAGCTCTCAAGCTTAGGGTTTTTATGGGGTGAGACCACACGCAGGTGGCTGGGAAGTTTAGGGTGGGGAAATTCCAGTAGCTCCATCTTGCACAACCAGTTGCACGACCACTACCCAATTCCGAGAACTTGCAATGGACACTTACGGGAAAAGAAAAAGAAAAAGGGAGGGGTAGGGGTCTTAATTACCTAAGAGCAAGCATAGTTACAGAAGCGAAAAGCTGGTTAGGCTAGTTTGGGCCTTTAGGCTAGTTTGGGCCTTTAGGCTAGTTTGGGCCTTTCAACCTATGGGATGATTTAGGAACTATAAAGATGGGAGCTATAAAGAGACTAAGCCTTGGACAACTAATATTTAGAAGTCAAGATGAAGAAGAAGCAGCAGAAAAGACTAAGAAGAGCAGCCAAAGAGATAGTATGAAGACTAAGAACATAGGATCTCTGAGCCAAGTGAAGAACAGTTTCAAGAAGAAGGGAGTGACTGTGTCAAATGCAGCTGAGAGGTGGAGTAAAGATAGCATAGAGAAATAATCATTGGATTGGGCAATGCGATGGTCATTGGTGGTCTTGATAAGAACAATTTCTGTGTATTGGAGAAGTCAACAGCCCAATTGGAGTTGATTAAAAAGAGAATGGGAGGAAAGAAAGTGGAGACAGGTCATCTCATACTCTTTCAAAGAGTTTTGCTGTAAAAGGGAGCAAAAAACTGGGAATAGCAACTGAAAGGGGATATGGAATCAAGGGAAGGTTGTTTTATTTTAAGATGGTGACATTAAAGCATGTTGGGTGCTGATGGGAATGAGCTAGTAAAGGGAAAAACTAATGATACAGGAATGATGTCCTTGAGTGAGAGGAGGTGGGATCTAATGCACAAGCAGAGGGATTGGCATAGACAGTTCATCCAGAACAAGTAGAAGAGCTAGGACATAGACAGATTTGGTAAGAGCACATGGAAGAACTCTCCTGATTATTCCTATTGCCCAAGTGAAACAAGAAGCAATGTCATCTGATAAGCTTGAAGAGGGGGATGGGAGTTTTGTAAGTCTGAGAAGGGAAAGGTGTGAAATAGTTGTCAAGGGGAGTAGAATGTGGATTGACTGGAGACATATGGTAGGTAGCATTGCCAAGCAGTAGCAAGGGCCACTTGGGGTCTGTAGTCATGAGACCAATCAGCATGGTGCATGTTGTGTGCAGGTTGGGAGGAAGAGTAAGAGAATAGATTTTACCAGGGTTGGATTTTTGCCAGGGGAGTAAAAAGAGTGATTTTACTGGTCATATCCCTCATGTCTAGAATAGAGGACAATAAGAAAGATAAGCTTCCTGTACTTCTGAAACTTAGATTCTAGTGATGAAGATACACAGAAAAAAGGAGGACAAATAAGTTATCAAGTAGTATAGCGCTAATAAGATAGTAAAACAGGGTGATGAGATTGAGAGTGGGACGAGGAGCAGCTCCGGATAGAATGGGTTGAAGAGTATGTCACTGAAAAGATGACATTTGAGCTAAGAGCTGAATGATGAGGAGCCAGCTTTGTGAAACTGGAGGCAGAGTGTTCAAGGCAAAGAGACCACAAGTGCAAAGACACTGAGGCAGAATTAGCAAATGAGTAATAGATTTTAAAAATTAGGCTGTGCATGGTAGCTCACGCCTGTAATCCTAGCAACTTTGGGAGGTCAAGGTGGGAGGATCACTTGAGCTCAGAAGTTTGAAACCATCCTGGGCAAGAATGAGATCCTGTCTCTACTAAAAATAGAAAAAAATTAGCCAGGCATGGTGATGCATGCTTATAGTTCTAGCTACTCAGGAGGTTGAAGCAGGATGATCCTTTGAACCCAGGAGTTTGAGGTTGCAGTGAGCTATGATGGTGCCACTGCATTCTAGCCTGGGCAACAGAGTGAGATGCTGTCTCAAAAAAAAAAAAATTAGTAGGGGAACACTTGAAGAAACTTGGCCATTGAATGGATATATGGCTAAGAGAGAGAGAAAAGTTGAGGTTGACTTGCAGGGTTTTCAGACTTGTATAACTAAGTTGATGTTGATGCCACCACTGAGATGGAGAAGATGGGAGGTCAAAGCTGGTGTGCAGAAGGAAAGATGAATTCACTTCTAGGATATGTTAGATTTGTACCTAGAACAGTGGCACATACTGTGCACATAGTATGTATTGTTGGATGTTTGAATAAGGTACTTTTGGAGCAATTCTAAAATCTAGGATCTATGATTGTTAGAACCTTGAAGTCCAGAGAGGACATTTCACAGATGGGCACAGGAAGTTTAGGAAACTTATCCAGTATTTTCTGGTGGGTCAACGTTAACTTCCGAATAAAGTCTAGCCCCAACTCTTATTTCATGAATTGGTAAGGTTATACAATCATTATGTTCACATTAATTCTTTGTTTGATTCCTCCACAGAAAGGATACATCCTTTGGCAACAGCAACCCCATAAGATTAATGATAACCAACTCACGCCATTGGCAGACCTTAGGATTGTACAAACCTTATCAGAATAAGCATGATCAATCAAAGATTTGGGAACAAGTTGTGTTTGCTGTCCATTATGTGCTTGCTCTGTTAGGTAATGTCAGGACACCAGCTGGCAGCATCTAATAATGAGTCCTAGGGGGAGCTTGTGTAAAAACTGTGACTATAGGTGAACATTTGTTCAGCTCTCTTCTTAAGTACATGAACTTGGACCTTTGAGCTTAAGTTAGGATTGGGCCATTGCCCATGAGTGGAAAAATACCTGCACTGGCATGAAAGAGACTTGGGTTTTCTTTCTTCCAAGAAAGGAAAAACTATATTTTGATTTCTGATGTAATCATACATCTTTGGC